TTAGCGAGAGAGGAACCACCACCAACCGATGACGTTGACGCACTGGGTCTAGTCTTAGTTGGGCGAACCATCGCTGTATTCTGCGCATGTGCAGAAGTCCCAGCGGGACCACAGAGTGGGCTGACGACATGAGACCCAAAAGTGACATGATCGACAGCGCCGTCACTGTGTGATTCGGACGACACTTCCTCAATGCTAGCAACAATGCTACCCTTCGAGGGTCCGAAATTCGAGCCCTCATCATTACAGTGTCTAGCTGTAGCCCCAGGTAGACAATCTGATGACTGGGCCAGGGTGCGCTCTTTTTCCAATTCACAGCGAACCCCAGACGCGTGAGATGAATCACTGTCTGTGTTGTGTGAGTGAACGCCAGCTCTGCTGACGGGGCGAGAACCAGCAGGTCGTCTAGGTAGGCTAATAGCCTTATCCCTTGACGACGCAGCGGCTCCAATGCCGCCTCCACACATTTGGAAAACGTTCGAGGTGCCAGGGCGTACCCGAATGGCATCCTCGTGAACTCGTACGCCACCCCTTGAAAGGCGAACCGCAGAAACTTCCTGTGACGCGATTGTATCGGCACATGGAAGTACGCATCCTTTAGGTCTATGCTTGTACAAAAGTCTCCTTTCTGGACACATTCCAGTAGACGTTTTGTTGTCAGCATTCGGAAGGGTCGTTTGGTTATGCTCTCGTTGAGAGTGCGTAAATCCAAAATCGGCCTCACTCCCCCCGTTTTTTTGGGCACTAGGAAATAAGGCGAATATAGCCCTTTGTTCCTTTGCTCCCGGGGAACTACTGTGACCGCCTCCTTCGCCAAAAGTTCCGTAATCTCTGACATCAGAGCGGCCACTTTGTCCGGCGTTTTCATCACCGTCTCCACCACTCCCCTGAACGGGGGTGGGGTTCGATGGAATTGGAGGGCATAACCCTTCTGCAACGTCTGTTCTAGCCAGCGTGAGAGGGTACAGCTTCGTTGCCACTGCCAGCAATGCAGAGAAAGCGGGCGCGCACGAAGCTGTGGTGCATCCAGTAGGAAGGACCTGTATTCCTCTATGGCCCTCGCCGCCGCTATTCCCCAGCACTGGGTTGGTGGAATAGCCCAAGGCGGGCCCCCCTCGAAAGGGAGAGGAAACATCAGCTCGTTCTGAGAGAATCGGAGGCCTTGATACGTCAGTTACGTCTGTAGCTCTAGTATTCCGGCCCTCCGTGAACGCAGCACGGTTTTGAGCTGCACTGACTGAGGTATTAACCTGAGACAGAGCGCTCTCCCCGGATAGCAATTGCGTCATCATGTCATTGTCTGACTGAGACTGCTGCTTGTCATGAGATCCGTCCACTGCAGTACTCAACAGAGTCTGGAAAGTGTGGTCTCTAACTGGTACCACAAGGTGGCGCCACAATACCTATTTTTCACTGGTCTCATGAGGCTGCTCAACAGCACACTCTGGGTGTGGTGAGCTGCACTCAGAGTAATGGGCATTGTTACGTTCTGAATTAACCGGGGGCGTCCATACATTGGTTACACCTGTAACTCTAGTATTCCCGCCCTCCGTGAACGTCGCACGGGTCTGAACTGCGCTGGCTGAGGCGTTAGCCTGAAGCAAGGCGTCATTCCCAGCTAGCGGCTGCGTCTTCATGTCATATTTAGACTGAGATGGCTGCCTGCTATGTGAGACCTTTACTACAGAGCTCCTAGGAGTCTGTAGTAAAATATCTTTATTAGGTGAGCTAAGGCTACGCCTTGCTACCTTTTTCTCTTTCCTCTCCTGAGTGTGTTCAACTACGCACCCTTGGTGGGTTGAGCTACACTCAGGATGGTGAGAGAAATTCATAGGACGTGAAGTACTCTGCAATGTGTCATGGAAGACAGGCCCTTTTGTGACAATGTCAGTGAGAGCCAGCTCTTTATTCACACAACAACAATAAACATTTCCCTCCATGCCCTGAACAGTAGGGTGGGGGGGAACAGTGGGCTCTGTCGCGTCTTGCGCCGAGCCGTCATCTGTCCTCTCCCCCTCGTCCCGTCATTGACGCCGTCTTTTCTGGCTGACCTTCTGGTGTTGCCAGGACGGTTTCGTGACGACCTCTCTCGCCGGCGGAATCGTCGCCACCACCGTCGTCGCTGGAGGGGCCGGGCCCGCTCGCCTGCTGTCGGTGGTAGGCGCCTGTCGCCTGGCCCGTCGCCTCCCTGTAGTTCTACTGGGGGCGTTGGAGGTTGACGGGTTGGTTGAGGCCCTGCTAAACTTGCCTGCCAATGGCAGGTGTTTAGCCAGGTGCTTTTTCTCCTCGTCCAGCTTACCAAAGCGTTCCGTCGCCTCTTTAACGGCGACCCCAAAGAGGCCCTCGCTAGAGACGGGAGCGTTTAGTAGCGAGGCTCTGTCCGTCTCCTTCATGGCTGTCATTGACAGCCAGAGGTGACGTTCCATGACCACCGAGGTGGCCATGGACCGGCCTGCGCATATCGCTGACGCCTGTGTCAAATGAAGAATAGCGCCAGAAATCCTGGACGCCTCTTCAATCTCTTCGCTGGTCAACTCCGACCTACCCGTTGTTAGACGGGATAGGGAGGCCGCGAGGAGGGCTATGTTGTTAGCCGCTGACACAGCCTGGGCTCCCAGCGTGAAAGACTTCTCAGCCAGCTGTGCTGTGAGTCTGTCCTTTTGTGCTGGTAAAATGGCTTTCTTGGAGGCCGCCCAGGGACTCGAACCCGGCACTAGATACGCCGCCATGGCGCTCTCGAGCTTAGGGATTCCCTTAGCCGCCCACTCACGTCCAGCCACTCTCGTGAATGGGAAGTACACCTTGGCCGGCGAACGCGCCGCCAGGGGTGTGTCCCACGAGCCCTCGACATATTTCCCGAGGGAAGGCATAGCAGGAGCCATCGGCTCAGCTGCCTTCCTTGGTTTAGAGTAGGGGCCGCCCTCCATCATGTCAACCTCCACAGGGGGGGGAGCAGGGGGCAGCGCTATCTCGAGTCGATTGGCGGCTCTCTCAATGAGTTCGGGAAAGTCCGAACGCAGAGAGGCCGCTGCGAAGGACAGGGCTGCTGACGTAACAGAGCCCGTGTCGTCATCGCATAAGGAGCCTTCAGACCTCGTACTCCCCATAGGGAAGGGGGTCTTGAAGGTTGGCGCTAGAGGGTCGGATTGTTCCATTGGAACATCCATCTCTGCGTCTCCCTCCTTATCATCCCCTGAGCCAGCACTGTCCGACGACGCCTCTGAAGCAGAGGCGAGAAGAGACAATACATCCTCTAGGGGGATATCCTCCCTAAAAAACGCCCAACGCTGCTTCCTCTCCTTCATAGGAAGGAGGGCGCAGGAGGCGCAATTAGGGGGATTGCCGGTTCCTTCCTTGGCATGCTGCGGCCCCAAGCACACGAAACAAAGGTCGTGGGGGTCCGCAGATGTCATGGCGGTACATCGGCACTGAGCCCTGAAAAGGGCTTTTGGGGGTGGAAAATCTCCTGGTGTGCTCATTTAGAAGACGATTTCTTCCTGAGTCTTCTTCTCTTCTTGGCTTCTTCAGTCTAGTCGTCCAGTCGCTGAAGATAAAGGGAGGCTGATTGAGGGGATGTGTCCCCTCTTATAGGGACACTTGTGCTCCCATTGGTTGCAGGTGTGTGCATAAATTTGCTTCAGGCTGTTCTGCCTTAGGGCAGAGGGTAAACCACTAGGAGCAGAGCTCCCCTATGGGGCGGAGCTCCACGATATAGAACCGTAGGTGTTCACAACACGGTTTAGCCTCATTTACCTAACGCATTTACAGATGAGCCAATCGGGAGAAAGGATGGCGGTTGGATGATTGGTTGGAAAGCGGGGGATGAGAATGAGATGACGGAAGTAGATGCTGAGTTCAAATCAAGCAGCGCTTCGAGCGAAGTTGGTGAAGACGAATGGAACAAAAAGGAAAATGTCTAAAATTGGAGTGAGGATATGTGTATGAATGATAATGAATCGCTTCTTGTTGGGATGCGCTTGTTGAGTAAGAATGGAAAAGTGGAGTCTGTCAGAGTGACCAGGAGTGGTCTTATTTTGATTAATTTTATTTCTGAAGAACAGAGGAAGATTGCGGCGAGCCTCAAAAGAATCCGAACAACATAAGTTTTGTGTTTTGAACTTCGGAGTAGAACACCCGTCAAAGCAGTCATCTCAGGGGTGACGACGGATGTTCAGGTTGAATACCTGAAGAAAATTCCTGGTGTGGTTGGTGCCTGGAGTCTGACCCGATGGGTGAATGGAGAAAAATAAGTCCTGTTCTTTTTTGATAAAGACCAAATACCTACGCATGTGAAGCTTGGTTATATAAGATACACTATAAGGGCTTTCGACCCAAACCATTGCAGTGTAAGAATTCTAAAGGATTTGGCCATGTTTCAAGTGTGTGCAGACGGACAGAGTATATTGAAGGACGACGGTGTTGCAATTGTGGTGGGGTTCCTGATCCCGAGTTCCTGGAGTGCCCTGTAAGGGTGAAGGGGATTGAGGTGGCAAATGTTAGAGCCGTCAATCGAATCTCCTATGTGGAGGCGATTCAAATAATTGAGAAAATAAGTGATGCAAGTGAAGATATGGTAGTGGACGCACCACAGCCTGAAGTAAATGTTTGCTGCCAGTGAAAATATACCCTGTGTGTTAAAAAAAGGTGGATTTTGTGGCATTCATTGCCACAGTTATAAACTGTACGGCACAAGTCTCAAAGAAGTCTAAGAAACTGGACATTATTGTGGCTGCGGCAGAAAAGTATTTGGGACATAAGGGTTTTACAAGACTTGCAGGCGGTACTGGCGCCGGAAAACCCGCTCTCCCAGGTTCCCCCTGAGCCTGTGTAGGGATCAGATCTGTTTTATTTTTTTAACAGAAAAGTTGTTTGATTTAGTTTAGTGTATTTCTTTTTTGGGGTCATTTTGTTTAATTTTTTAGACTCATGTTTCCATTCCGCACAGTAGGTGGCTACATGCACATTAAATTGTGCGATCGCCAATATACCATAGAAGAAGAAGAGCATCATGTCCACCATGGCTTGTGTTTATTCTGAAAGTCTAACATTGGACCTGCGTATAAAACAGAATTACAATGCTCAATTTGCAAAATTGTGTTGGACAACTGGTAGGTAGAGTGAGAAGACAACAGTTCATTGGTTTGCTAACAAGCTGGCAACGGTGAAATCAGTTAGATAACGTTAGCTAGCTACGCTACCAGTATAATCAAGTAGCTAACCTTGTTACTAAACGTTTCTTAGACTCGCTTTTCGACGCCGAAAACCCTTTACATTGTAGCCAACGTATGAGACATCATCTTCTATAACTGGTGTTGGAAGGGTGGCTCCCTTCACGTCTTTTTCCTCGATGTCTCAGCGCAAACATGTTGAATTGCTTTGTTTACCTTTTGAATTTGACGGAATTTACCCAGAGTGCAACGCGTTATTTACATTATGACGTAAAAGTGAAATCAGGCCATTTCCGGGCAGCACAATTCACAGCACCATGGATCAGGTGATATGTCAGCTGATGAGCAGAAGAACCAGGAAGAGAGATTGGGTGTCATAGCGTTGTTATTTCTCAAGAAGTATTATATTTATAAACCCAAGACACATCATAATATCTGAGAAACACATTATTATTGCTACACAAAGACAATACATTCAAAATGTTTGCCGCTGACGACGAGGATGGAGATTTTCTGTCGCCTACTGGAGGGTGAGTTTGCTTTCTTTCTGGTATTAGCCAGCTAGCCTATCTAGCTAAACTTTTTTTTTATTTTTTTTTACATAAAACTGCTTATTTTGTAGCTATCTTGCTTGTTTGCTTTTTAGACACTGCCTGAATTGAAGTAGGCTAGGTTGTCATTTTCACAGAGCTAGCTACATAGTTACTGCACGCACTGACAAAAACTGCACCGATGCGATGGAAAATGGCTAGCTGCGAAATGATTTTGATTGACCCTGAAGCCTACTACAACCGAATTCACTACAACAATTTAAAATAGTCAAGCCCCTTCACACACACACACAGTCTGGTACATTTGACAGACTTGCGCGAGTCGGGCGCATGCCTTGCACGATATAAATCGAAAGAAAATGTGACCTAGCCTTGCTCTTCGCGCATCCTCAGTTAGAGCCTTGTGTTCTGAGACAGGCTTTGTCCTCCACCTCTCACCCAGAGACAGTAATGCATGGGATTTGCATGGACAGTGGGTGTCTTATGCAACTGATTCGGTCTCAGGTCACTGTATTTGCAGCATCCTATGTTTAGGGTAGTTTGTGATTTCACCCAAATATGTTTTCCCTTTTGGCTGTGAGCCCAATTTCAGTTAAAAAATTGGTTTGGTACCAAAGTTGCTGGATGAATAGGTCTGCTATGTCTCATCTGAAGTTCATAACTATTCAATCACTTGTACAATGCATGCTAACTGCCAACTAGGGCCTGTGTTATTTGGTTCTCTAACATTTCCTGGATAGTGGGGCAATAGTTCCCTCGGCTAATATGATTTGGAGGAATAAAACTTGTCTGGGCCAGGAGCAGTGAAGGAGGGGGGAGGCTAGCGTTGTGGCTCCTAATTCCTCTCACATGCTGGTAGTTAGGGCCAGTAGGGCGAGGGCTGCCTGCTCCTTCAGATCAGCTCAGAAAACTGGACTGCAGATTGAGCCACAGCTCTTCCAGTGATATGGTGTCAAATCTGCCATGGAGGTGTGACTGCATTGGAGAACAAGACATTGGGGAAAGGAGAGGAGGGCATCACTAAGGGTGGCAACACTGAAACTCAGTGTGTTGTTGGGTGGCCCATGCCTGTTTTACAAGTGGCTAAACAGGCTACTCTTCACCACCAGTCGTCAGCAACAAAGACCCAGGCCTCAAGGTGCCCACCATGTCTTCTGCTCTGAGGGATAATGACTACCTGTGGAGGGAGATCCAAGGGTCAGTATGGCCCTGCTCTGGATGGAAACGTTCAAGTGAAATCTGATGATTTTCATCTTGATGATGAACATAGCATTCATTTTCCACTGGTGGTCTGTCGTCTGTCTGTGGCAGTTGAGGAAGGTTATGGGGCTTTTTATTATGTGAATTTGTGATATGGTTCTTATGATAGCAAGCATGTGAAATGTTCTTGTGATGTATTTACGCTTCAGTTATGGCAACATAATATTGTTAGAGATGATGGTGCAATACATGATGATGTAAGCTATTCTAGTGTGTAAGATTATTGTATTGTAGTAAGAGCTGCTGTGATAACCTACATTCGTGGTATTGTGTTTGTCATCTTTAATTCAACAACATGTTAAATGTGGACTTTTTAACATGAACATTGTAGAATGTTGACTTGACTTGTTGGAGGCAGTTGCTTTGGGATTCAGAAATCCTCAGTCTGTCAGATGAAAGGGCTCATAAGAGCAGCTTTTCTCTATTGTGTGGGCATGGGTCTTGATATACAGTGTGGTGGCTGTATCAACCAGGCATGGGGATTTTGTTCTCTCTGCTCAATATAAAATCAGGAACAGTAAGCAAGAAAATTGTTAACCATGAAACAGCAACAACTGAACTGCTGAGTTGATAGAATAGCTTTTGCTTTTTATCCAATCAGTTTTTTTTTGTCTCTATGGAACATAATATGGTGTGTTGATCTCTTTTGAACTTCACTTAGGAGAGAGCCTAGTAGGCCTACCTCATTACACCAATAGGGCTTTTGCAGATTATGGGCTTACAGAAATAACCTAAATAACACTTGCTCTATGTCCAGGTTCCCCAACTCGCGGCCCGTGGGTGATTTTATTTGGCCCCCCAAGTTTTCTGAGCAAAAAATATCCGTTTGGGCTTCTTGCGGTCAATTTGCAGTCTACAAATTATTTGTAATTACAGTGGATTCGGAAAGTATTCAGACCCCTTCACTTTTTCCACATTTTGTTTACGTTACAGCCTTATTCTAAAATGGATTATGTTGTTTTTATGATACCCCATTATGACAAAGCAAAAACAGGTTTTAGAAATGTGTGCTAATTTATTCAAAATAAAAAAAACGGAAATAACATTTACATAAGTATTCAGACCCTTTACTCAGTACTTTGTTGAAGCACCTTTGGCAGCGATTACATCCTTGAGTCTTCTTCGGCATGACGCTACAAACCTGGCACACCTGTATTTGGGAAGTTTCTCCCATTCTTCTCTGCAGATCCTCTCAAGCTCTGTCAGGTTGGATGGGGAGCGTCGCTGCATAGCTATTTTCAAGTCTCTCAAGAGATGTTCGATCGGGTTCAAGTCCGGGCTCTGGCTGGGCCACTCAAGGACATTCAGAGACTTGTCCTGAAGGCACTCCTGCGTTGTCTTGGCTGTGTGCTTACGGTCGTTGTGCTGTTGGAAGGTGAACCTTCGCCCCAGTCTGAGGTCCTGAGCACTCTGGAGCAGATTTTCATCAAGGATCTCTCTGTACTTTGCTCCGTTCATCTTTCCCTCGATCCTGACTAGTCTCCCAGTCCCTGCCGCTGAAAAACATCCCCACAGCATGATGCTGCCACCACCATGCATGACCGTTGGGATGGTATTGGCTAGGTGATGAGCAGTGCATGGTTTCCTCGAGACAATACGTTTGGCATTCAGGCCAAAGAGTTCAATCTTGGTTTCATCAGACCAGAGAATCTTGTTCCTCATGGTCTGAGAGTTCCTTCGGTGCCTTTTGGCAAACTCCAAGCAGGCTGTCATGTGCCTTTTACTGAGGAGTGGCTTCCGTCTGGCCACTCTACCATAAAGGCCTGATTGGTGGAGTGCTGCAGAGATGGTTGTCCTTCTGGAAGGTTCTACCATCTCCACAGAGGAACTCTGGAGGTCTGTCAGTGACCATCGGGTTCTTGTTCACCTCCCTGACCAAAGCCCTTCTCCCCCGATTGCTCAGTTTGGCCGCGTGGCCAGCTCTAGGAAGAGTCTTGGTGGTTCCAAACTTCTTCCATTTAAGAATGATGGAGGCCACTGTGTTCTTGGGGACCTTCAAAGCTGCAGAAATGTTTTGGTACCTTTCCCCAGATCTGTGCCTCGACACAATCCTGTCTCGGAGCTCTACGAACAATTCCTTCGACCTCATGGCTTGGTTTTTGCTCTGACATGCAATGTCAACTGTGGGACCATATATAGAGAGGTGCGTGCCTTTCCAAATCATGTCCAATCAATTGAATTTACCACAGGTGGACTTGTAGAAACATCTCAAGGATGATCAGTGCAAACCGGATGCACCTGAGCTCAATTTCGAGTCTCATAGCAAAGGGTCTGAATACTTATGTAAATAAGGTATTTCTGTTTTTTGTTTGTAATACATTGCAAATATTCCTAAACTTTTTTTTCGCTTTGTCATTATTGGGAATTGTGTGTAGATTGAGGAACAAAATGCATTTAATCAATTTTAGAATAAGGCTGTACTGTAACAAAATGTGGAAAAAGTGAAGGGGTCCGAATACTTTCCGAATGCACTGTATGTTCCGGCCCTTTGACCATCCGCTCAAGAAAAAATCAGCCCGTGGCTGAATCTAGTTGATGATCCCTGCGCTGTGTTATTTCAGGGCAAAGCTGGCATCACTTTTTGGACTGGACAAAGCACCAAGTCCGGGGAATGAATCCTTCCAATATACAGCCCCTAAACAGCCTAGGAAGACCTCGAATCAAGGTAAAAACATAATTTTAGCAATGGAAGGAAATATGACCAAAGTTAGGTTAATATGCTCAGGTGAAACTGAGATGTGTTTACTGACAATAGAGCATGTTTTAATTTCCAGGACCTCCTGCCCAGAAACACACTGCCCCTCCTGGTACTCCTGCGGTATTATTGGCCACAGCTATCCATGCTTTCAAATAGTGAGTATCTTTAAACTGTACAAATGACTTGAAATGCCACCCTGTTGATGTGACATCATGAGACCCATTCATTTGTTTTGAGTTCATGACTTACTCCATAACTGACGGTGCATATTTCTGTTTAGTCTTAACGGACAGTATCAGAAACAAGGAAAGCTTGGAGCTGCAGTCCTGGGTAACCACACAACCAAAGAGGTGCGAGCAGAGATGTTTTTTATTATTTTTTTAATGTACATTTTCATGAGACTTTGTCTCTTTGAACATGCTGATCATACACGTTTGCTACCAATGATCTAAAAGTTCCCTGTCCTGTTTTTTTCATAGTACAAACTCTTGCTGTACGCCAGTCAACAGAAACAAGTGACTGCGGCCAAGATTCATGTTGGGTTCGTCTTTACGGTGAGTTTGTGTCAGAAGAACCTGAGCAAGTGAAGAGAGAGCCAGTTGGCTTTACTTAAAGAATCTCAGCTCTTACTCTCTCCTATTGTCTCCTGCAGGTTCAGCCCAGCAACTACTGCACTTTTTATGACGACCAGCGTCAGAACTGGTCCCTGATGTTTGACACAGACAAAGCTGCCGTGGACTTTTGTAAAGAGGTGAAGGACAGCAGATGGACTCTGAGTTCGTTTAATTTCTTTGTGTAGAAAACATTTAATAGTGGTATAAAAGTGATTGAAATGGCTACTTGTCTTTGATTTAGGTATGTTTGGCAAAAGTGAACAGCGCCCCCTCCTTAGATATGGTGGTGGTGCAGGACCTGACACTAGGGGAGGGGCAGGGGGTTGAGAATGGAGACTCCCTGGAGGTGGCATACACAGGCTGGCTCCTGCAGAACCATGCCGTCGGACAGGTAAGATATGGCTGTGTTTGTTGTGCCATTAGAGATCAATGCTTTGCACAATGCTGTGTGCCGTCTTTGCCCTGGGATGTAGTGGTACAGCAGTAGTTTTGTAATATTCAACTATTGTTTCAGGTGTTTGACTCCAATCTGAACAAAGACAAGCTACTACGATTGAAACTTGGCGCTGGAAAAGTGATTAAGGTGAGTTATTTATGTCCTATGGGTGAATAATTTGGGTTGTATGGGCACAGCTTTTGTTCTAAATAAGAATAGTAGTGGCATTCCATTCCAGACATGTATGGTGAATTTACAGCTTCCTCTCTCTCCTCTCTAATTGCCAGGGCTGGGAGGAGGGCATGCTGGGTATGAGGAAGTCAGGCCGGCGTCTCATGGTGATACCCCCCAGTCTGGGATACGGCTCCCAAGGAGTGGCCAACCGCGTCCCAGCAGACTGCACACTTATCTTTGAGGCAGAGCTACGACGGGTAGGACGTCCAGCATCTTTCAAATGGGACTGTCCAATAACATTAAGCCAAAGTTCATATTTGATGAGTTTCTTTGTCTCCTCATGCCCTTCTGTTGTGTCCTCAGTTGAAGTTGGCGAAGGACAGCGTGTCTGACCGTGCCAGTGCTGGGTCTCGGGACTCTGCTGCCCCCTCACCTGCCCCCAGTGTGGAGAACCTGGGCCCGGACCTTCCGGCAGGGCCCGCTCAGCCCCCTTCTACAAGCCCCGGGAGACCAGGGTAAGAGCACAGGCTTTCCTGAACACACTCATAACCAACTCCCCCAGCTCATTTCTGTCTTTGTCCTTCTTTCATTGTTTTCACCTTCTTTTTCAGAGAAACACCACTTCGGGCAAAGTCAAATTCCATCAGTGAACAGTTGACAGTGAGTGCTTTCTCTCTCTTTCTCTTCTGAGTAACATTAGACTTTGATATACAACGGGCAAAGCTGACCTGTTAGTAACCCAAACCCTATCAGGCTGATGAGGTATAACCTACTCCTTAATCTTCCCATGGCTCCAGAATCCAGATGCCACCAAAGCCAAGCTGATCTCTCGCATGGCCAAGATGGGACAGCCCATGTTGCCCTTCATGGCAGGGCCCTCCTCCCAGCCAGACTCCAGCGACTCAGAGATGGAGGTGAGATGGAGGGTCCAAGGGATTGTATTTTCACATAGCTGCACAATATTAGCTGAGATAAAGATGCTAGACATAACCAGTGTCTTCCTTCAGGACTCCAGAGTGAAGGCGCGTCCTGCTGCTCCCTCTCCTGTGCAGATCTCCACTGCCCCCCAAGCGCCAGTGCAAGGTGAGCTCTCCTACAGCCTTTGCTGGAGTCATTACTCCATGTTTAGCTGTCCAATAGATGGGCCAATATCACTGTTTTTTAAGACCGATGTCTTGAATTAGACTCAGATCTGCTGTAAAGCTTTTCATGGTGTCGATGTTTGTTGCTGCCCTGGGATGTCATTTCTCAGTTTGTACATAATGTTTTTTTCCTACAGTGCTTTCCTACCCTCATGGGGCACCGCCCTCTGCCTTGATGCCTGTCGCTATGACAACTGCCGCTCCGCAGCCTGTGATGCCAGGCTCCGCCCATGCCTTTCAGGTGAGAATGACAAATGTCATCTTCATCGTTCAACTGTCAAACATTTAAACTAATTTCCATGCTATTTTGTATTGGCTGTAGAGCTGATTTAAAGGCTAACCTCCCTTCTAATGAATCTTCCTCCATTCTCTGTTGCGTCATTGAATCAGTCTTATGTTCTTTCATAGCCTTATGCCTACACACAGTCCTCTATGGCTCCATCTCAACTTCAACCAATGGGCCAGATTTACCCCACCCAGACAGTGCCGTACATGGGAGGCACTGGCGAGGTCACTTCCTTCCTCATGACTGAAGCTCGGCAGCACAACACTGAGATCCGATTGGCTGTTGGCAAAGTGGCCGATAAAGTGGACCAGTTGGCGTCAAAGGTCAGCAATATTATTAAGGGTATTTCTCTTTATCAGACATTTCCACCTCCAGTGTGACATCAGTTTTTCACTTCTCATCGATCCTCATGTTTTGACAGGTTGACGACCTTCAGAGGCAAGGAGGCCACTCATTGGCTATGCCCAGTGTCACTATGGAAACATCCATGATTATGCACAACATCCAAAGAATCATTCAGGTATAGTCTGGTTGGGGGCGGGGGGTGTGAGGGATTTAATACCCTAATAATACTTTAGTGAAATATCTACATGTTTTTTTTAATTCGTTAAATCTCTCACTATATTTACTGTACAGGAAAATGAATCTTTAAAGAAGGATGTCTACGAGAAGAGCTCACGTGTAGAGGAGCAGAACCACAAGATTGGGGAGCTCATCAACCAGAACCAGAGGTAAGACACAGACATTGATGCAGAAGATAACATTGGTGGATCTGAAATGGCACCATATTCACATACCAATAGGGTGCTCTTTCGGACCCAGCCGTTGAGTTTCTCCACGTGTCCAGCCAGGCTTGTCTCTTTTGTTGTTGTCCAGGTACATGGAGCAGAGTAACCTGCTGATGGAGCAGAGGAATGACTCCCTGAAGTCATCCAGTGAACACAACCAGGCCCGGGTGCTGCAGGCCCAACAGGATAAGGTAGATCACAGCTCCACTGCAACGCCCACCCTACTGTACATCTGTATATACTGTCATCACCCTGCAAGGATGAACTAACCTTCTCTTATACTCACAGCTAGGGCAAATATGAGGTGTGATTATTTAATCCACAGCCATGGCTCATTATTCTCATGTGATTTAACGGCTCTATTACAGTATCTAACATGGCTTTAGGGATATTAGTGTTGTTTTTGTCTGGGGACTAGACTAACAGCCACTCTGCTGCAGCTCCTGGCTGTTTGTCCTGCTGTGTTCCTCTCAGGAACTTTAGTAGTGACTGCTCTCTCTTTCCAGCATGCTCTGCCTCAGGACCTGGGCTTGGGCCAGGTGAGCCTGTTAGCTCTCGCTCTACCTTCCTCCACTCATCCTCCTTCCTGTCCCCTTTTTGCTAACTTTTCATTAATTTTATTTTTCTTCAGCCCTTCTCATCATCAAACATCATAATTCACCAGTCATCTTCTTCCCACAGTGTCATGCTTACAGACTCCATGTCTCTCACTCATCATCACGTCCAGCCAATCCCCATCACCATTGTCCAGCCAATCCCCATCACCACTGTCCACTCTCACTGTCTATGGCTGTGTCCCAAAACTCTGAGATGGCCTCCTTTTCTCGTCGTCTTTCCTTCATGACCACTGGAAAAAGGACTGGACACTGACAGTTCCCAACATGTTGCTTTGTTTCCAGTCAGATTAGTGATCATAAAGGAAATCAGTTATTTTAGGTTATTGTGACAGCCTGTCTTTGGACTGTGTATTGTATAGACAGACAACATTGCTGACTAAAAGTACTTGTCTCTGTCTCTTAGGTGCGTCTGACAGAGGAGCTGGCCACGTGTACAGCGCGGGTGTCCCAGCTGCAGCAGGAGGCCACGTCTCACCAGCAGAGGGCTGCAGAGCTGCAGAGCAAACTGACCTCTGCCCTGCAGGACAGCGACACACACTGCACACACATCTCCTCCTTAGAGACCCAACTGGAAGGTTTGCAGTACTCTTACATAATTATGTGCTATAAACTGAATGTTTTTCTTTAACTTGGTTAGAAAGGTGTCAGTGAGTGTTTTATATGTGAGTGTGTTTATGTTGGTGTGAGACGGAGGAAGTGTCTCTAAAGGGGTGTTTGTGTAGAGCTGAAGGAGACGTCAGAGCGAGGCCAGGCCCAGTACCGTACAGAGAAGCAGAAACGCAAAGAGATGGAGCTCAGAGTGCATAACATGGAGGAGGAGCTGCAGGACCTGAAGACTGACAAAGAAAGTTTGGAACGAGTGAGTATGGCATACAGTGTCTGTGTTTGTTGGTCTGCCTTTTCTCTCAAGGCTGAGGGGCCGAACGTTATTCCAGGGTGCATTCTCAGAGCATGCGCAAATCAGCTGGCAGGCATATTCACAGTCATTTCCAACCTCTCCTTGTCCCAGTCTGTAATATCTTAAGATGACTACCATCATTCCTGTTCCTAAGAACTCTAAGGCTTCATGCCACAATGACTACTGCCCTGTAGCACTCACATCTGTAATCATGAAGTGCTTTGAGAAGCTGGTTATGGCACACTCTACGCAGACGACACCATTTTGTATACATCTGGCCCTTCATTGGACACTGTGTTAACAAACCTCCAAACGAGCTTCAATGCCATACAACAATCCTTCAGTAGCCTTCAACTGCTCTTAAACACAAGTAAAACTAAATGCATGCTTTTCAATCGAACGCTGCTAGCACCCGCCCACCCGACTAGAATCACCACTCTCGACGGGTCTGACCTAGAGTATGTGGACAACTACAAATATCTAGGTGTCTGGTTAGACTGTAAACTCAACTTCCAGACTCACATAAAGAATCTCCAATCCAAAGTTAAATCTAGAATCGGCTTCCTATTTCGCAACAAAGCCTCCTTCACTCATGCTGCCAAACATGCCCTCGTAAAACTGACTATCCTACCGATCCTTGACTTCGGCGATGTCATTTACAAAATAGCCTCCAACACTCTATCACAGTGCCATCCGTTTTGTCTCCAAAGCCCCATACACTACCCACCACTGTGACCTGTACGCTCTTGTTGGCTGGTCCTCACTACATGTTCGTCGTCAAACCCACTGGCTCCAGGCCATCTATAAATCACTGCTAGGCAAATCCCCGCCTTATCTTAGCTCATTGGTCACCATAGCAGCACCCACCCGTAGTCTGCGCTCCAGCAGGTATATCTCTCTGGTCATTCCCAAAGCCAACACCTCCTTTGGCCGCCATTCCTTCCAGTTCTCTGCTGCCAATGACTGGAACGAATTGCAAAAATCTCTGAAGCTGGAGACTCTTATCTCCCTCAATAACTTTAAGCATCAGTTGTCAGAGCACCTTACCGATCACTGCACCTGTACACAGCCCATCTGAAATTAGCCCACCCAACTACCTCATCCAACTCCACCATCCCAGCCACCCTAGACCCACTCCAACTTGCATACCGCCCTAACAGATCCATAGACGACACAATCTCAACTGCACTCCACACTGTCCTTACCCACCTAGATAAGAGGAAGACCCATGTGAGAATGCTGTTCATTGACTACAACTCAGCATTCAACACCATAGTCCCCTCCAAGCTCGTCACCAAGTTTAGGACTCTGAGACTGAACACCTCGCTCTGCAACTGGATCCTGGACTTCCTGACAGGCCGACCCCAGGTGGTGAGGGTCACCCCCTGCCACGCTGACCCTCAACACAGGGGCCACACAGGGGTCTGTGCTTAGTTCCCTCCTGTACTCCCTGTTCATCCACGACTGCGTGGCCACACACGACTCCAACACCATCATCAAGTTTGCTGACGACAAGACGGTGGTAGGTCACCGGTGACGATGAGACAGCCTACAGGGAGGAGGTCAGTGACCTGGCAGTGTGGTGAGAGCATCTTGACTGGCTGCATCACTGCTTGGTATGGCAACAGTACCGCACTCGATCGACTGGCGCTACAGAAGGTGGTGCGGACGGCCCAGTACATTACTAGGGCCGAACTCCCTGCCATCCAGGACCTCTATATCAGGCGGTGTGAAAGGAAGGCCCAGCCTCCCAAGCCATAGACTATTCTCTCTGCTTCTGCACGGAAAGTGGTACCGGTGCATCAAGTCTGACACCAACAGGCTCCTGAACAGCTTCTATCCCCGAGCCATAAGACTGCTAAATAGCTAACAGGATGGCTACATGGACTATCTGAGTTGACCCTTGTATTGTATTTTTTATTTTTGCACTGTCTATATGCACACCAACACACACTGACACTCCAACACACACACACAACTTGCACACACATTTATACTGACTCTACACACACTCGCATACAATCATAATTTACGCTGCTGCTGCTACTCTGTTTATCTTATATCATGATGCCCAGTCATCTTACCTCTATACATATCTACCTCTATCACTCTAGTATCCCTGCACATTGTAAATATGGTATTGTAACTAACCCTGTTTAAACATTAATATTTAGCCTCCAACGCTTATGTCGATGTGCGTGGGGCTATCAGACATCTCTGGTAGAAATTGCCCAAAGGCACAGATCTAGGATCAGCTTACAGATCTCAGCTCTTTTCAATCCTAAACCATAACCTTTACCATTAGAGTGGGAAAATGACCTAAAACTGACATTAGATTGGTGTCTAAGGGTAGCTTCATCTTTCTTCTCTTAGACACTGTCGGACAGGAAGAGGAAGTGGCAGGCGGAGAGGCAGCGGTGTGATGAGGAAATGGAGGAGCTGAGGAGGAGCAGCCAGCAGGACATGGACAGTCTGAAGACCCAGCTCCGGAAGGCCAGGACCAGCACTGGCCAGGCAGCCTCAGAACAGGTACTGTACAGGGTGTAGTAATATTGTCTATGGGGAGAGGGTGATGATAACACAAATATTTACACAGCTCAATCTCCTTTTGGAGATGTTTATTTTAATTTGAATGAAGAGTAATTGTGTGTGCCTGACTGTGCTTGTGTGCTTATATTTTTGCGTGTGTTTGTTCCAGCTAGCCCAGCTGCAAGCAGAGCTGGAGGAGGAGTGGAAGGGGAAGTGTGAGCAGGCGTTGGCCTCTGCCCAGGAGCAGCAGGGGCGTCAGATGGCCCAACTGGCAGAGCAAAAGGACACACTGGAGCAGGGACTGACCCAGCTACAGGAAAAGGTCAACAGCCTAACCCATATTTTACCGTACACAAAGCTTTCTCTCTCCTGACGCCCCTTTGGACTCCTGAGTTAATACATAGTTTTATATTGTGTGGCTAAGGGGGGATTTGTTAATGTTGTTATACAACAATGGAATTACATAAGTATAAGGCTGTGAAATGACTTATTGTGTAGCTTAATCTGCGAGAGTCTAGTGGTGCGGAAACCTAACTAGTTCCTTCTCATTCTACCAGTTCTCATCTCTGAAGCAGTCCAGGGACTCAGAGGAGCAGTGCTTGCTACAGCAGCAGGGACAGGACGAGGAGCTGCAGGTCCTACAAGAAAAGGTACTGGTGTGTTTACATTTTAGTATGGCATTAGCAGCTAACTCTCTCCATATCATTATGAAGTCCTCTTTCTCACACACTCACATTCTCTCTCTCTTTTCTCTTGTTCTCTCTTTCTCTCCTCTCTTTCAGTATTCAGGCCTGCAGGAGCAGTCATCAGCTATGAAGCAGAAGCTTGAGGGGCGAGTGGCTGAGCTGGAAAGGAGGCTGGCAGAGCAAGGGGGCCAAGAGGACACTGCAGGACGGGACACTGCAGGACAGGACACTGCAGGGGAGGTGAGAGGGACACAGAGACATGTTTTCATTGTGAGAGCTGAGTGTCTTTCTTACCTGTACTTCATGGTTTGACCCTAGCCCTGTGTGCCCTGGCAGGTGAAGCGTGTGATGAACGGAGTGTTCCACTCTCTGAGGGGGGAGTTTGACCTACACGAGACCTACACAGGCAGTGCTGTGCTCAGTGTAATCGTCAACACCATAAAGGTACTGCATCTCTGCACGACAATTATCAAAACTGTTCTCTTATTACTGTGTTATTCACAATGGAGATGGACTGAAAGGGATTTGGGTGAATTAATGTTGGTCTTTGACCCTTCAGAGTGTTACTTTGCAACTGCTCAATGGTACTGAGAGACCTTCGTCCCATCGGAGGGAAGAGGAGGAGGAGGAGGAGGAGGAGGAGGTGGTGGAGGACAGTGATGTGAGGCATAGAGAGGAGAGACCACCACATGATGTCCATGTGAATGGGGAGGAAGAGGAGGAGCAGAGGACAGAGCCAGAGCAGCCTAGTGAGGCCGTTGGGCAGAGGGAGGGAGACCCCAGAGATGTGCAGAAGAGGTCTCACCTGGAGGCAGTACCAGAGACCGAGAAGCCGACTAAGGTGGAGCTAGAGGCAGACATCTACACAGATCCAGAGCACCAATCACACTCAACCCAGCCACGACCAACATCTCCCCAGCCACAGGGAGATAACACCACCGAGGCTTCGGAACCCACTGACATAAACCCTGAGGAGAATCTGCCCTCTGAGATGGGACAGAAAACTCAGTCAGAAGGTGACATAAGTACCCCAGAGGTGAAGAAAGTGAGTGTGACTATTGAGGGTCCCATGGGTGAACTGGAAATAACTAGCCCCAAAGCCACCGGTCCTCCAACCCAGCCCCCACCTCCACCAAGCCCTCTGCATGATAGTCCTGGGAAAGTAACAAGGTGAGTTCTATAGAGAGACCACTGAACTACACAACCCAGGCTCATTTAATTTAGCCTTATCTATGTTCATAATAATAAGTCTGTTGTCCCTTGCTAATATGCATGAATTCCTGCACTTCTCTCGGCCTTCTATCCCCCCCCTCGCTCTCCCTCCTTGCTCTACTCTTATGTCCATTCTCACTCGTGTGTTCTATTCTCTCAGTCTGACTGAGGGAGTAGGAGAGGAAAATGGGAAGGAGACATTTTTCCAGAGCACAGCCCCAACCAAACCCCCACCACCACCCACTGAGGAGGAGGAGGAGGAGGATGAGCTGGTGAGGAAGGATCAGTAGAGCCACACCAGTTCTCTCAGATTTCTAAACACTGCTTCTGTTCCCCTTGTTTGTCAGTAAAGCCTAAGTTTGTCTGTTACGCGGCCTACTGAATAGTACATCAGGTAACATTAAGCTGGTTTCAAGATAGAATTCAGTGGCAGGATCCTCTGCTGTTGAATGTGTATGACAGGAATTTGTTCTGAATTACTTAATTCATTTCCAAACAGTCTCAGTTAAGTGTTTTGTGGTTGGTCAGCGTAGGATTACTGAACACTCACATTTGATATACTTTTTCCCATGTTTTCTCAGAGCTTGAAGGGGCGACCTCCCCCAGCCCCTCTGTTTGGTGATGAAGAGGATGAAGATCTTGACTGGCTGGGCTGAGCAACAACTGAAGTGATAGGTCTTATGAGTCTTAAACGCCCTCCTCTAGAGATATGATTTCCACTGTCCTAGAAGAGACTATACTTGGAAGGACATGTAGTGAACTCAGTCTCTGTTTGAGATAATGCAACTCTGAGTGAGAAGGACGTCCTGTCAGACTGCCCTGAACACTGCGGTTAAAGATCTGTGTGCTGTGTTGATCTGTAGGGCTGACCTGATTGCTGTTGCCTGAAAGCCCCCCCGAAAATGCAATCAAAGTCAATCCATCTCTTGTTAGTCCTGTAATTTGTTGTCTTCATTGTGTCTTCAAGACTAAAATGATGCTCTAGGGTCTTTTAAATACTGTAGCTCAGATGTTAATTTATCTGATTTGATTTAAAATGTATGTTTGCTTGTTGTCAAGGGTTACAAGGCTGTCATGTATTAATGAGGAGGGCTTGCTGCTTCAAGAACATCTAACTTTTACACATTTTTGCTGACTGAGATTCATTCCAGAAAATAAAAGACATAGAATACGTGGACACCTTTTTTTCCTTCAAATTGTTATTTTATTGTATTTCCATAAGATATTGCACCAGAGAGATTTCTGCATCATTTTGGAATGACATCCATAATCAAACCAAGGACCTGCAATCATTGAATGCTGATACCGCTAGCCTATAGCATGCTTACTGCAATTAAAACATTTAAAAAACACATTGACAAAACTGGATCATAATTTGGTGTTGACATATTTACCATAACACCATATAATAAAGTATGCCTAGAATGAGTCATGAGTATGGAAGGCTGTGCAGAGCATCCTCCAAAAGAGGATGGGTATGGTTATGAAAAGAAAATGTATGCACTCACTAACTAAGTCGCTCTGGATAAGAGCGTCTGCTAAATGACTAAAAATGTAAAATAATGTTGTAAAAACAACTTTGACCAGCAGGTGGAGAACGAGATATAGTATGGACGTGTCTCATCGTTGCTTGGCAACGCAAGTTCTGAAAGTTGGTTCTTCTTGGTTAGCTAGCTAGCGGAGTTGTTTAATAGCTACATTTATTTTTCTCTGGCTAAATTAGCCTAGCCTATTTTTTTTTCCATTCAGTTATCTAGGGTGCCCTACACGAGGTACGTATGCGTTGCACTCCGATGGGGTTTCTGCTCAATAACTATTGCGGAGTTAACCTTACTGTATAAATGGCTGGGTAGCTAAAGTAAGTTTCTCTCTTAAAAAAAAAAAAAGTGGTTTCCTTCCAATGAATGAGAAACAGAGAGGACAAGGCCGGGGGCTTCTCCAAAAATGTTAGCAGCTCTGTTATAATATTCACAATAGCATATTAGCTACATAGAACCGATGTAGCGAGCTATTATTGGGAATGCATTCTAAGTGGTATGCTAGAATGGACATTGGATAATAGCTAACAGTAGTGTGTAGTACGTGTACTACAGGACTAGCTAAATGATTGCGCTCACTCACTCAGGTATAGTCCATGGGCAGCCTTGCCAGTGAGGTTTTGGATGAGGCCCACTGTTTCTGGGCGATGTGCCCTCATCCTTGCTGCTGGGAGTCGGAGCAGCGCATTGCCAAAGGCAAACCACACTACATAAAGCCCAGAACATCAGATAGGGGCAGAGCCACTGTAGATGGTAGGCAGTCAAGTATTGCAATTCAATTTCTCTCCTCTCGCTTTCAAACACACACAGCAGTACTGCAAAATGCATTGAACAGCTGCTGGCTCAAATGGGCCAAATGTTAAAGTGGGTTAACAGTGCTGTTCTTTCTGTTTTATCAGTGGAAGAGTTTCCAACCCTTAGTGTGGTTAATGTATCGGAGTGGACTGAAGGCCGAAAGACCCCTAAAGTGAAGTTGCTCTATAAGACACTTAGCAAGGAGAAATTTGCCACAGATGCTTCTCTAACTCTTCTCTCCAGCCAGTCACAAGCCCACCAGCAGGAGCATAACACAAGGTTAGTAATAGCCTAATCAAAGTCAATATAGTATATTGCCATTGGCCATTCAGTATACTGGAACAGAAAACAGAGTTATCAATTCTAGTTGAAGTTTAAACAATGGATTTGCATAGGGGTCCTCCTACTCTCTAATTCTTCTTTGCAGTGCAGCTCTTCACGTTCCAGGGTTAAACTCTGTTGACCATAGTCCTCGTAATAAACAACACAAGGAAGTAAAGGTTTGTCACAGTTACACATAGAGACAGTATGCCTAAAGTCAGACGCAAAGGCTTGCTGACTTTGTCTTACACCCTTCGTTGAAAACCAAAGATGGAGTTTTTGTAGGCTATACTTTTCCATGGTGAGTAATATTGATTGGAGTATAGCTGATCCAGTGTAATGTCTGTTGTGGGTGTTATTGCAGCTCAGCACAGCCCAGATCAATCAGTTGGCCAGCTGCTCCAGTGCATCATGGGGCTCTGGCTCCCTAGTGATGTGGGTACCCAATCCCCAACACATCCCTCAGTGCCAAGCCCGAAACAGGTCACTTGATTTATTGTATTTGATGTAGATTGTATCTTAATTTTTCATCATACTCAGTCACCTTATGTTGTACTTTTTATGTTATTGGCCTAGACCTTAGAAATGTGCATCATTTGATTACCACATAACCTTTTTAGACATTAAACTTGGCAGATATGCACATTGCCTTTTTGATCACAGGCCTAAATCTCCCCATGTACCTGTCAAGGAGCTCACTTGCCTTCCGTCCTTAAAAACCTCCAAAATTGTGAGTACCATATTTTCACGGCTTTCATAAATTGTATGTGGCAGGTTATTTGTCTTTGTATTACATTAGTGTTAATGAATAGGCCTATTTCGTTAAGCAGTTACATATTCTCATCTTTATTGTATATTATAGAACAGAAATAAGTCCAAGAATGTGCGGAAGATGGTGCCATTCCAGCTGACACCATTGACATCAAAGCCGAGAAGTGAGCATGGGTTGGGCTCCCCTGTGTCACAGCAAACTGTCCACCCAACAGACCTTGCCCTGGCCAAGCCTGACACAGACACTGACCCCCAGAGGGAGGAGGAGGAGGCCCAGACCCAGGTTCAAACCAGCCCACACCCTCCCCCAGCACCCAGGGTCCCAAGTGCTTTCCTCCTCAGGAACAAGCCTGTGGTGTTCCACAGTGTCAGGGAGAGGGTACTGAGGAGACACACCCAGCAGGACCTCTCAACATACATGTACAAACTGGACAGCAAGGTCACTCATACTATCATACTACTGCCCCATGACATTCTCTTTCTAAATAATGATTCTCTGAATAATTCTCTGACTGATCATTAAAAGGCCTGTCTCCAGTGCTGTTTGAGTGAAATATAATTAATTTACATGTAACCAACAGGCATGAAGCATGTTGCTGCCTCTCAATCCATATTCATCTGGCTTGCTGAGTGGTTGAGAGAGGGGGAAACCCTGCTTTGGCTCCACAGTGAGGGAGAGTCACGGGAGAGTGAGACTGGGCACTGGTTCTGGAGATGCAGGCCATGATAGCTCCTATTACACTGAGCTTTTCTGGCTAGATTTATAACTAAGTGTTTATTTTCTGTTTTCAGCATCTCATGTAGGGAGTGGTCAGTAGTCACGTACTTCCTTGAACAGCCAAGCTTTAGTCCAGGAAGAATGGAACAAATTCCTGCTCAGCTGTTGATAAACAAATGAATTAAATAATTTAAACTTAACTGAATGTCACGCCCTGACTCAAGGGACTCGTATTTGTTGAGTCAGGGTGTGTATTTTCTGTGTTGTGTTTTGTTAGGTTGATTTTCTATGTTGGATCTAGTATGTATAGATCTATGTTGGCCTGTGTGGTTCCCAATCAGAGGCAGCTGTGGCTCGTTGTCTCTGATTGGGGACCATACTTAGGCAGCCTTTTGGCACCTGTTAGTTGTGGGATCTTATTCCGTGTAAGGTATGTTGTGTGTATGCTACCTTGGACTTCACGTTTCGTTTGTTGTTTTGTCGTGGTGTTTATTCGTTAAATAAACATGTATGCTTATCACGCAGCGCCTTGGTCCTTCTCGTCTATAAATTATCGTGACAGAAGATCCCACCAAATGAGGACCAAGCAGCGTGTCCAGGAGCAGACAGCCTGGACCTGGGAGGAGATCCTGGACGGTAAGGGATCCTGGACTTGGGAGGAGATTCAGGCCGGGATGGATCGCCGTCCTTGGGAGGAGACAGTGGAGGCGCGATATAGAGAGGAGCAGCGGCAACGCGGAAGGCGCCGGCCGAGGAAGAAGCCCGAGAGACAGCCCCAAGAAAATGTTGGGGGGGGGGGGGGGGGGGGGCTAAAAGGGTGGTTGGCGGAGCCTAGAGGTAGAGCAGAGCCAACTCCCCGTACTCACGCGAGGAGGAGTGTGACTGGGCAGGCTCCGTGTTATGCGGAGCTACGTACTGTGTCGCCAGTGTTCCGGCACAGTCCTGTACGTCCTGTGCTAGCACCACGCACGTGTCGTGCGAAGATGGGCATTCAGCCAGGACGGGGTGTGCCGGCTCAACACTCCTGGTCTCCAGTACGCCTCCTCGGTCCCGCATATCCTGCGCCTGTTCTACGAGCTGTATCGTCAGTGCGCGTGCACAGCCCAGTGCGTCCTGTGCCAGCGTTCCGCATGTGTAGTGCGAAAGTGGGCAGCCAGCCAGGACGGGTTGTGCCAGCTCTCCGCTCCAGACCTCCAGTCCGCCTTCGTAGTCCGGTCCGGCCTGTTCCTGCTCCTCGCATCAAGCCAGTGGTGCGCGTCGCCAGCCCGGTCCGGCCTGTTCCTGTCCCTCGCACCAAGCCAGTGGTGCGTGTCGCCAGCCCGGTCCGGCCTGTTCCTGTCCCTCGCACCAAGCCAGTGGTGCGCGTCGCCAGCCCGGTCCGGCCTGTTCCTGCTCCCCGCACCAAGCCAGTGGTGCACGTCGCCAGCCCGGTCCGGCCTGTTCCTGTCCCTCGCACCAAGCCAGTGGTGCGCGTCGCCAGCCCGGTCCGGCCTGTTCCTGTCCCTCGCACCAAGCCAGTGGTGCGCGTCGCCGGCCCGGCCTGTTCCTGTCCCTCGCACCAAGCCAGTGGTACGCGTCGCCAGCCCTGCCCGGCCTGTTCCTGTCCCTCGCACCAAGCCAGTGGTGCGCGTCGCCAGCCCGGCCTGTTCCCCTGCTCCCCGCACCAGGCCAGTGGTGCGCGTCGCCAGTCCGGTCCGGCCCGTTCCTGCTCCCCGCACCAAGCCAGTGGTGCGTGTGTCCAGTCCGGCACGGCCCGTGCCTGTTCCACCGGTGCCTGGTCCGGCACCGGTCAGCTGCTCCACTCCGGAGCAATCCGCTCCACCGGGTCCATCCAACTCCGGTCAGCGGATCAACTCCGGAGCCAGAGCAGTCCGCTCCACCGGTGCCCAGTTCAGCTCCGGTCAGCTGCTCCACTCCGGAGCCAGAGCAATCCGCTCCACCGGGGTCTAGTCCAGCTCCGGTCAGCGGCTCCACTCCGGAGCCAGAGCAGTCCGCTCCACCGGTGCCTGATCCAGCTCCGGTCAGCCGCTCCACTCCGGAGCCAGAGCAGTTCGCTCCACCGTCGTCGGGTCCAGCTCCAGTCAGCGGTTCCAGTCCAGACCCAGACGTCAGCCCCTCTCCAGGTTCGGGGTCTCCCACACCAAGGTCCAGACAAGGCTTGGTACGTCGTGGGAGGAAGGAGAGGGGAAGCAGCGCGCCGAGGTCCAGACCAGACCAGGGGCGCAACAGGGAGGTGGAGAGTAAGTGGTGGTCACGCCCGGAGCCGGATCCGCCTCCGAGGCGGAATGCCCACCCGGCCCCTACCCTGTTATGTTTATGTGGCGCGGTCGGAGTCCGCACCTTTGGGGGGGGGGGGTACTGTCACGCCCTGACTCAAGGGACTCGTATTTGTTGAGTCAGGGTGTGTATTTTCTGTGTTGTGTTTTGTTAGGTTGATTTTCTATGTTGGATCTAGTATGTATAGATCTATGTTGGCCTGTGTGGTTCCCAATCAGAGGCAGCTGTGGCTCGTTGTCTCTGATTGGGGACCATACTTAGGCAGCCTTTTGGCACCTGTTAGTTGTGGGATCTTGTTCCGTGTAAGGTATGTTGTGTGTATGCTACCTTGGACTTCACGTTTCGTTTGTTGTTTTGTCGTGGTGTTTATTCGTTAAATAAACATGTATGCTTATCACGCTGCGCCTTGGTCCTTCTCGTCTATAAACGATCGTGACACTGAATTAGTGCCAAATACACTGTCTGGGATGTATTCTACTTGTTGTAGACAACACTTGTCTATTGTAATGTCCTGTTGGTGTGTGGAAATGAAGCGAGGAACCGCTAGTTTAGTCAATGAAATAAACAAATGTTTGTAGTGTGTTACACTTGAATAAGGCAAATCTGGCAACTCACATTGTTGTTTTGTTTGAAGTTTTTTATCTCCATTTCCTTTTTCTTCTCTCTTCATGGCTCTTACTCTAGACTGGAGGGGATGGCATTGACTGGGATAGTCTGAGAAGACAGACCTATCTGTGGAGGAAGCACAACGTTCCACCCAACTGTGACAGAGAGAAGCCATTTCCCCCAGAGGACATGACTGTCTGTCAGACAGGCCAGCAGTGGAACAGCTTTGGTTTCTATCCCATCCCAAAGGCCATGCTCCATCACGACCCCAGGAGCCCTCTGTCCAAAGGTAACACACTGGAGCTCTAGGCTGCGTATTGTATGCAAGCCAGGAGGCTGTGTGCCATGATGTCACAAAGAGACTTAAAGATTTGTAGATTTGACATTGAATGGATCAAGGTGATCAAAGAACCGCTAATTTGTAACAAACTTGTATATGTTTGTTGGTGTGATGCCAATAGAGAGAAAGATTGCGAAGAATGTTGTTGAGGAAGATGTGTGTGTATTGCAGGTCCTGCTGTGTGGCACTGCCTGGACTGTGTGGATAGGATGTGGTGTGGCCATGGTGGTGGTCCACTGGCCTCCATATCCAAGTGCCATAATTCATTGGTGTCAAACAGTTCCTTCAAGTTCTGTAGCAGATCCAACCTCAGCTGTCAAAACCCCTTGCACCAAGTAAGTGTCTGACTCTACACCTCTCAAATCTAGCCAACACACTCAGCGTGAACCAATCAAAACCAAAATTCAGCCCTGCATTTGAAACTGATCTGACATGTTCTCTAAGCTCCTAGATAGAGATGACCTAAGTGATGTGGAGCCAGGCAACAAGGGCACCATTGCTCCTCACAACTCCATGATGTACCTTCAGGACACAGCTTCACACCACAGATTTGGTCATTATATCAACACCGAATAGGATGGTTCTCCGTTTTTAACGTTTATATTTGTAGCTCAGCTGGTAGAGCACGGCACATGTAACGCCAGGGTAGTGGGTTCGATCCCCGGGACTACCCATACACAAAAAAAAATGTATGCACGCATGACTGTAAGTCGTTTTGGATAAAAGCGTCTGCTAAATGGCATATTATATTATTATTATTATTGTATCATCATTAATCTGCTACTTTTTAAAATGTATGTACATTTGTACATCAGAAGTGTCCATATATGCAATATATTCTCATAGATAATTTTTCTAATCTCAATGTGATTCCACAGACAGTCAAGGAGAGGATCATGAATTTGGCCTATGCCCAGGGAGAGATACTGAAGAAGGTCTAGGAGCCTTAGAGAGGACAGGGAGGAGCTCTGAGGACAAAGGCCACAGGTCTTCAGGGTCCCAGCCATCCCCTCCAACCTCTAGCGTCAACTCCGATACCAATGGCGATGGTAAACCTTGAAAAGGAAGAGACAGACACTGAATGATCCAGGACTAAGATCCAGGAGTAAATGTACTCATCAGGCCTGTGAACATTCATATATTTCATCCAGAGCTATCCTTCTGCTTTATATAAATACATCTGGTAGCTTGCTTTTTTTTTTCATGTCAAAGTATAGCCTAACATGGTAACATAACAATACACACTAAGTGTACAAAACATTAAGGACACCTGCTCTTTCCATGACATAGACTGATCAGGTGAATCCAGGTGAAAGCTATGATTCCTTATTGATGTCACTTGTTAAATCCACTTCAATCAGTGTAGATGAAGGGGAGGAGACAGATTAAAGAAGGATTGTAAAGCCTTGAGACAATTGAGACATGGATTGTGTATGTGTGCCATTCAGAAGGTGAATGGGCAAGACAAAATATTTAAGTGCCTTTGAATGGGGTATGGTAGTAGGTGCCAGGCGCAACGGTTTGTGTCAAGAACTGCAACACTGCTGGGTTTTTCACGCTCAACAGTTTTGTGTGTATCAAGAATGGTCCACCACCCAAAGGACATCCAGCCAACTTGACACAACTGTGGGAAGCATTGGAGACAATATGGGCCAGCATCCCTGTGGAACGCTTTCGACACGTTGTAGAGTCCATGCCCCAACGAAGTGAGGCTGTTCTGAGGGCAAAAGCGGGGGTGCAACTCAATATTAGGAAGGTGTCCTTAATGTTTTGTACACTCAGTGTATGTTAACTTACATGATTTCTACAGGCGTTATCCTTATTCAACAATAAATCAACAATCCTTATTCAACTATGTCATGATTCAGTATTTGATTATTTGACATTAGTCAGCTTCATGGCAGCCTTGTGTATCAGGATTCTAGGTTCTTCTCACCGCAGGGTTTAAATGGAGTCCACCACCTTCATGGTTATGAGAGGGCACCAGGTGTCACTGTAGAGTCATTGAGGAAATTCCCAATTTGGCTCTGTTTCAATCAGTAGGGGGCCAATGCCAACCTCTAAATATTTCACTTCAAAACATAGTTAAAATGTGTTTTTATTGTGATAAAATCCTCTACAAAAGATAACTTGGTTCCACACATTTTGTGAGCCCTGTCACAACCGTGGCTACTCTCCGTCCAGCAGCCCAAATATATACATTCGCCATGACAAGTGAAAGAAGGGGCTCTGGGGTTGGATCACATCACAGGGCTAGGCCTATGGTTCAGTTCAGTTTGTTTATGGAATAGTTGATCCCTTCAACTCTCCAGCTGTGCTCATTTCCGCTCTCTGTCCTTGGCCTAATTATGACTGCAGCAGCAGACAGTGGTTGGTAATGTAGCAGAGGATATCAAGGCCAGCGTTGGGTGCAGGAGGTTAGGCTAGCTATGCTACCGCTAGTGGAGTAGACGCCCAGGAGAGGTTTCCTGCTGCTCTGCCAGGTGCTCCTCCTATGAAGGCCTCACAGTAACAGTACTTATTAAGCACTGACTCTCACTGTAACAAAGCTAGGTTGAGGAAAGAACTGGCTGAACTGAACCTGTCTGATGCCCTCTTTTACTTACATTCTCTCTAAAAGGCAAGGTTTTTAAAGCAGAAAGTACTACATGAACAAGTTATAATAGTGATGTGTTCAACAGGTTTCTCTCTTACTCCCTTAACCCCAGAGCATCTCCTATCAGGGAAAGGCCTCTTTTTGTGGCTTATACATTATTGTATAGATTTGATTTTTTATGTTTTCCTATCGTAAAGGTCCTGTTTGATTTCATTCATCAGACCTCACCAGGGTATAAAGAAGCCATTGATTAGGAATGACCTCAAGTAAGTTGAATGTCAGAGCAAATAAACTGGCCTATTTTTAGGTGGCATAACACTGAATATTGGTCATTAGGTATTAGTGCCTGCTGCAAGCTGCTGGATAAACTAATTATCTAACTACTTAAAGAAAGTATTGCTTAATGCTCTGAACTATGATAGTGAAGTGTGAATATCCAGTGCCCAGTCAGTCACAGTAAGCTTTATGTGTTTGTGTCACCATCCCTGTTGGATAACCTTGGAACTTTCTGTTTACATTTCTTAGCGAAAAAAAATTCCCCTCTGAATCATAGGCACCACTGTGTAATGGTGCCACACAGCCCGCCCCCTCTCGCCTCCCCACTAACAGGACACTCTCTGTCAGGCAGCTACACCAGCAGCTCTCCCACTAAAGTCTCTTTAAAATGCAAGTTTGTTCATTTTTTGTGTACTTAGTTTAATATGCAGTGTGCAGCTTAAGAACCCTCAGATTCACTGGAGCAAAAAAGCAGTGTCAGTAGGTATTGTTGCCTTGGCCCATAATCTGTTTGTCTGTCCTCACAATCCAAAAATTAAATCAGAGTATTTTCAATTGATGTAGGCTATAAGTAGCCACAGTGGATTAGGTAAAAGGGAGGATTCATTTTGTGTGTGTGTAGGTGGTCTGGATTCTCAGTTAGAGTAGATGGTTTATAATGAATGTCTTGTCACAGCCTAGTAGTTCTGTCCTGGGGTTCTATTTATTTTTCAATGCATTGCATTTGTAATGTGCCTGGCTGTCATGCAATTATTCCAAAACTCATAACCATGTGTAGGTGGGTGTGCTTCACAATATCAGATGATTCAGCAGTAGTTTTGGGTTACAGCATGGGCTGACTGATTACAGTGGGCATGCATACCTCTCCTCTCTCAGAGAAGGTGGGTGTGTCTGTCTCTTACACCTGCTCATGTCAGTCAGCCACACAATGTACAGGTTATTGCAGTGCTGTAGAGAGCTCTGCTGAGGGGGTCTCTTCTCCTGGCTGCTTTCATCACTCCTATTAGGCTGGGTGAAGGAATGCACAGGCCACGGGTTCCCTCTGCGCTGCTGCTTGGGCAGCCGCCAGGTTAGGCCTAAATGAGGCCCTTTTGTCTCTTAACGGGTGCAGGAGAGCCACACCTGCATTAGGCTAGCACAGGTCTACTTATCATGCTCTGCCCTGGGGCCTCATGGAGGAGCGTACTGGAGGAGAGATGCACAGATGTCGACCCCCAGTCATGTGGATCCAATGGCCGGGCCCCCTGACATCATCCTTTTCACAGCTGTCTTGCTCAACTGCCTTACAGGAATGTACAAAATGTAACGTATTTAAAGAATTGTTGTATAATCAGTATTCTCTCTCATAGATGTACAATTATGGGCATTTAGCAAACAAACAAGCGCTCTTGGAAGGGACAATTTTAAGGGTTACTGATGATTGAGTTTGTGAGTGTACCAGCCAAGGTTTTTAGGACACTAGTATGAGGAATTCAGTGGAGGCCTGACCTATAGAGGTGATGTCATGAGCTGGGTTAGGGTGCACTGCACATACACAGCTGATTCTACACAGGGTAGATGTTTACACAAATACATGTGAGGCTGCTCCCACGGTCACTGTTATATACTGTAACTCAGAATGCAAGTCGCATGCAGTACTTGTCAGACAGTTATGTAAGAGTTTCTTTTTTTAATTGTCTACTTTTAGTGAAGAAAATAGCTGCAGTACTTTAGAGGACACTCATTATACAGTACACCAGTCTGATAAAGTTGACTTGAATGAAATTGTCTGTTTGCTATGATACGGTATGGAATACTTACTCACACCCACAAACCCAGTTACACTGACTTACGTGTTCAGGGCATATCTGTTTGGATTACTGACAGTCAGGCTTTAGGACATTATAACACCTCTTTGTGAGCGTTGTGTAGATAGACTTCCTGTTTACCCACTTCTTCACCGATGATACACGAGTATGCCCATCATCATTGGCCCTTCTCGGCACTACGCAGGGTACTTACTGGCATCAGAGCTGCCAACAATATCAACATGTCCACAGACCATTATCTTCAGACTGTGAGTAGACCAGAAATCAAGCTGTTGTAAAGGCCTCCAAAATAGTAAAGCTGCTAACTGCTGTCATACAGTATAGATGGGTCAGCGTGCAGACACAGGAGTGGATAGGAGTAAATCTTCCAACCATGGGTGGTGGTTTGTATAATAGTGGTGTAGATTGAGACTCTAGGCTGAGTAGATGGGAAAGGGACAGCATTGATAATCGCCAGGGCTCCTGACCCCCCTGTTTTGGAGTGTTTGTCTATCTGACAAACAATGGCTGGCTGAGGGCCAGAGGGAACTTTGCCAAACCACGGCCAGCTCACACATCCTGCCTTTGTGGGCCAGGAATCCAGACAGCTGCCCTCCTTCTCCCACCCCTCCCTCCCCAACAAGGTGCTCTCTCTCAAACATCCCCGTGTCCCGGTGGTTTCAGCCCAGCGGCCTGGTGTCTGGGTGCTTGCCTAAGGCACTGCTTGTGGCTCACCTCTCTCCCTCCATTCCTCCTCTCTCTCCACAGTGCTCCATCCCCACATCAGTGGCAGGCAGGTTAGTAGCAACACCTGCTCTCTGTGGTTCCCCTCTGCTCCCACTGATCTTAACTCCCACTGAGATTCCTGCTGCCTCAACTCTCAACACTTCCATGGTGGTTGTTATATTTGGTTTTTCATTTTGGTTCATTCCTCGCAATTCTTGAATTTCTGAAGCGGTTTTGTATTCAAAGATACCTGTATTTTTTTTTTTTTACATTCATTTTATTTCAAGACCACATAAAGAACATGTAAAGTACATACACAACATATCTTTGCAGTCTTTACAAAGGAGCGTAATGAGATTCACATGTTAAGGGTACATTTTAGCTGGATAAAGCAAACATTTAAAGAGTCTGAATAAGAATACAGTATGGATAAAGCCACTTAACACAAAAACCCAGAAGTTTCCCGCATAGACCTAACCACATATCTTTTGAAGGTGCATGTTAACTTTTCCAGCATTTTGTTACACATTTCCTTGCTGCTGCTAAAAGATAATCTATCAATTTAAGTGGAGAGGAGTGGAGTGTATCCACAGGAACAATACCTAGAAGGAGATGACATGGGTCTGGTTGAATAATAATATGTGTGATGTCCTGTATAACATGGAGAATTTCAGACCAAAAATACTGGATTTTCGGACATTGCCAAAATATATGTGATTAAGACGCGTGTATTTTTGAACCATTATTATTTATATCTTGTTTGATATTTTGGGGGATTTGCTTTTTATAGGTGAAGCTGTGTTGTCATTGTGGTTTTGTCAATGTGAACTGGGTTAAGTGAGGACAGGTCTGACAAATTGAGCAGGGATCCACAGAAACAGGTCCTAGTTCTTTTCTTTGCCCTCTCCTGTGGTGTAAGGCTTTCTATATTCACACTCACTCCTCTCTCTCTCGCTCTGCAGGTTTTCAGTGGCCTCATCAAATGTGCAAAATTACATTTCCTGTGTTTCACAACAATGAGAGCCAAGGCCTAATACAGGGCCTTCCTGCCCTCGAACAAAACACTTTTTATGTCCCCCTGGGATGACAATGTGAATGTTTCGTTTTTCCTACCGAACATGGGAACCTGTAGAAGAGCCTTTGTTTCCTGGAATGTGGCCGTTAGGAAAGAGATGGAGAGAACACAGGATATGTGCCTTGGCCTGGGCAATGTGTTTCAATGGGGTGGCTGGGGCCAGCCCAGCCAGGCAATATAATGGTAGAGTTGTACGTAGGGATTTTCTCTGTTATCTGCATCACCACTTCCCCTATTAAAGTGGATTCTATGCCAGAGTGGGATTCCCCACTCATTTTTTCCGTTACACCTGCACTTGTTTTTTTCTGTTTACAGAATCGGTCTTACGTGACCCATTGTCAAATACTGCTCATATGCCAGAATGTAGCTACCGTGTTACTCAACAGTATGGGAATCCCACAGCCCTGCAGCCCTGGGTTCAAATAGTGTTTGTGTTCGTTCAAATACAAATACTTAAAGGACATTTGTGCCACTTTTCAACCTCATATTCATTATCTCCAGCACCAAACCAGTGTCTACATATGTGAAAATGGCATGTTTCTATGATCTGTGATTAAAAAGATAAGACGAAAGGTCCTAAAAAAGGCTTCTCTGACATCACAGGGTAGGGTTAAAAGTAAAAAAAGACTGTGATTTTCCAAACCTGCAACAAGTTTATAGCCAGAGGGAAGGTCTTTTCTCATCTAATCTCATAGTGTTTTTAAAATGTTTTAACTTTTGATGACGTCATGGGGTAGAACTTTTTAACTATCGATTTTTTTCTACTAAATGTAGAAATGCACAGTTTTTACATATGTAGACACTGCTACTGTGCTGGAGATAATGAAAATGAGGTTGAAAAGTGGTGGAATTGCCCTTTTAAGCTGCACTTGATTGAGCTTTCATGGCAAAATGGGACTGATGGGGAGAATCTCAATTGCATACTCCTACTCCTCGCGTCCTCTCCCTGCATCCAAAAACCCATTAGAGGAGAAGATCAGAGGGGAGGGAAATCTTGCTTTCTCATCCAATGGGTTTTAAGAAAGAGGTGAGGAGAGAGGATGTGAGGAATATGCAATTGAGATTCTCCCATGGAATAGTCCCAAAAGTGCAAACCACACCCATCTGGCACTAAAGGCAGGCTCAATCAAATGCTCAACCTATTTGAAAGAAATCAAATACTATTTGAAGCCACTCCACACTTAGCTTTTCTTATTATGAATTTATCAGCAATTAGCTTTTCATGTAGTTTCTCAATAGCATTAGGGTCATATGATAGTAAGCTGTCAGTGCACTGAAGTGCCTACAGTGTTGTGTTTGTAATATAACCATGCTTTCTCATTATAGTAATGTAGCAATGGTGCAATTTCTTCCTCTCCTACTCCACTCACTCAATCCCCCCCGATGCACTTTCTCTTCCTCCTTGAGAGGAGAGCTGATGTCACAGGGAGGTGGCGGTCTGCCCGTGTCTATAAGTACAGGCACCACAGGGGGAATCTATATGAAGTGGAGCTAACCCAGCTGAGCTGTGCTGACCCGTGCTGAGCAAAGACACTGCAGGAGAGCAAAGAAACACTAGACTGGTGTACCTTTTAGTGCACTCACACAGATGAATGAATAGATGAACTGACAGACAGACACACTTCTCTCCTCTGGACTCAGGTGCAGGCTCTGGACAGTATATCACTAGGTATCTATTCTCCATCTAACGACCTCTAGGACGGAATCTTTATCTGTCATTTTAATTTTGTAATCTACGCTTTCGGGATGTGTTCTCGGGTTAGTTTGAGATGGACCGTCTCCACCCTGTTCTTTCTCCTCTTCAGTGCTGCTGTCATGGTGAGTTTCAAAGATGCATACATACCTGCCTGCCCTTGTTTGATTTATTCCCCATTCCCTTTTCTCTCTACACTTTGCATGACCATATTCACGCTGTGTTTCTGTGTCTTTCTATGTACAAATATTTGTTTACTAAAATAATTGTTGAACTTTTTGGGTATTTTGTTACAATGAAGAAAGGCACTGAGATCAATATACTACTGTACTAGTAGTCATTGAAATGATCAGCCTGTTGAGGAATGCATTCCCCTCACCTCCACCCTCCTGCTGCTGTGCCGACCCTAACTCACATTTAACACTGACCCTGCTGTCTGTCTCAGGTGGAGAGTGACTGTCCTACCCAGTGCTCCTGTGGCCCCTCACCCCCATCGTGCCCAGCAGGCATTAGTTGGGTGGCAGATGCCTGTGGCTGCTGTAAGGTGTGTGCCAGGCAGTTCAACCAGGACTGCAGCCCCAGCCAGCCCTGTGACCACATCAAGGGCCTGCACTGCCACCTGGGGGCTGGGGGAAACCCAGAGAGAGGCCTGTGCAGAGGTAAGGACCAGGAGCCCCCTAACATCAGTGGAAGAGATATGAGGTAGTTGGGCCAGTATGGGAGTCTGCAGAATTATGGGAGTAGCAGATGGGTATGGGTATTTCAGAATTGTAGTAGAATTTTGATCATTAGATTGATCCAGGTAGATAGTTGTCAAATGCTCAGCATCATGGTAACACACTACCATAGGGGTATGAAGTCCACAGTGCTGCAAATGTCTCTGTCTCTCCCCAGCGGAGGCCCAGGGTCGGCCATGTGAGTTCAACGGGCGTGTCTACCAGCATGGAGAGGACTTCCAGCCCAGCTGCCAGCACCAGTGCAGCTGCATGGACGGGGTGGTGGGCTGCATGCCACTCTGCCCCCAGCAGGTACCCTTGCCCGACTGGCGCTGCTCCCGGCCAAGGCTGGCACGGCCCTTGGGCCGCTGCTGTGAGGAGTGGGTCTGTGATGACAACAACCACATCAGTGAGGACCCAGAGGAACCTCCACAGGCAGCCCTACCCAACCCACAACCCCTCCCAAACCACATCAATAACCAGCTCCAGACCCACGCCCAGCCACGCTATCAGGCCAGCACTGGAGTCACCTTTCGAGGTACAGTAAACCACCTATCCAATGATAAGCCTAACCCTAAGGGCAAGTTTCCCAGGCACAGATTGTCTAGTCATGGCTTTTCAGTACAGGACTAGGCTGAGAAACCGGCCCTATATGTTTGTTTTTCCCAAGCCTTACCATACATGTTGCTCATGACTGTCATTTTCTTTCACAGAGGTGATGTCCCTCCCCAGGTCCCAGGTGTTGCTAAGCGCCAGATGCTTCCCTCAGACCACTGATTGGACGGAATGTTCCACCACGTGCGGGATGGGCATCTCAAGCCGGGTGTCCAATAACAACGCAGAGTGTCGGCTGGTCAGAGAGACACGACTGTGTCAGGTCCGCCAGTGTGACCTGCAACTTACCCCAGCAATCAAGGTAAAGTGAGACTCCACTCAATGTCTGATATGTTTGTGGGAAATTGCGTTAGAGCACATAGAACATTTGATATTTCACTTTTAATGATGAGAACTTTTGCAATATTACAATTTATTGTGGAATACATAGCTCAGTTGTCTAACTCTGTTTGTTGACTGTCCAGAGGGTAAAGAAGTGCCAGCGTACAGTACGCCCCCAGGAGCCAATCAGGATCAACTTTGCTGGCTGCTCCACGACACGCCGCCATCGGCCTCGCACTTGTGGCTCCTGTGCGGACGGGCGATGTTGCACCCCCTCACTGACCCGCACCGTCCACCTGCGCTTCCACTGTCCCGACGGAGAGGGCTTCACACGCAACGTCATGTGGATCCAGCGCTGCAGCTGCAAGAAGAGCTGCCACAATCACAGTGCCCCCTCAAGGCCCTCTGTCAGCCTGCACAATGACATCCACAACTTCAGGCACTGAGGCAGGCATAGGAGGATGCCCAACCCCAGCTTCGACACACTAGACAGGGCTAGGACATGCTAACCTCTCCCCATCTTCCACCTACCCTCTGCCCAGGGATAGCCCTGCCTTTCAGCCCCTTCCTGGACACCAGCCTCTCCCTCCTGCACCAGCGCCAGACTATGGAAGAGAGAGCCTCGGCTAGGTGGCCGCTCCATCCAACCAGGCAGAACTATCGCTTGCACTTTAAGCTTCCTTACACGTTGCCACCAGTTATCCGACATGAGAGATGTGGAGCAACTGCTCTCTGCAGCCAGGCCCAGTGTCCCTTCCCTGTTGATGACCCAGTCCCTGAACTGTTCTGGTGGAGGAAGGTAAAGCACTGAGCACAACAGACTATGGATGGCCTGATGTCACTTTCTTGATGTCATTTTGAAATTGTGGGTGAAATATGTAAATTAATCAGTTTGGTTGTTTGCTTTCCCCCCTCGTTATTTATCATTTTTCTTTGTTAACATTGTCAAGTTCCTCTATAACCACAGAGGAACAAGGGAAAATGTATGTATGTATGTATGTATGTATGTATGTATGTATGTATGTATGTACAGTGGGGGAAAAAAGTATTTAGTCAGCCACCAATTGTGCAAGTTCTCCCACTTAAAAAGATGAGAGAGGCCTGTAATTTCCATCATAGGTACACGTCAACTATGACAGACAAATTGAGAAAAAAAAATCCAGAAAATCACATTGTAGGATTTTTTATGAATTTATTTGCTAATTATGGTGGAAAATACGTATTTGGTCACCTACAAACAAGCAAGATTTCTGGCTCTCACAGACCTGTAACTTCTTCTTTAAGAGGCTCCTCTGTCCTCCACTCATTACCTGTATTAATGGCACCTGTTTGAACTTGTTATCAGTATAAAAGACACCTGTCCACAACCTCAAACAGTCACACTCCAAACTCCACTATGGCCAAGACCAAAGAGCTGTCAAAGGACACCAGAAACAAAATTGTAGACCTGCACCAGGCTGGGAAGACTGAATCTGCAATAGGTAAGCAGCTTGGTTTGAAGAAATCAACTGTGGGAGCAATCATAAGGAAATGGAAGACATACAAGACCACTGATAATCTCCCTCGATCTGGGGCTCCACGCAAGATCTCACCCCGTGGGGTCAAAATGATCACAAGAACGGTGAGCAAAAATCCCAGAACCACACGGGGGGACGTAGTGAATGACCTGCAGAGAGCTGGGACCAAAGTAACAAAGCCTACCATCAGTAACACACTACGCCGCCAGGGACTCAAATCCTGCAGTGCCAGACGTGTCCCCCTGCTTAAGCCAGTACATGTCCAGGCCCGTCTGAAGTTTGCTAGAGTGCATTTGGATGATCCAGAAGAGGATTGGGAGAATGTCATATGGTCAGATGAAACCAAAATATAACTTTTTGGTAAAAACTCAACTCGTCGTGTTTGGAGGACAAAGAATGCTGAGTTGCATCCAAAGAACACCATACCTACTGTGAAGCATGGGGGTGGAAACATCATGCTTTGGGGCTGTTTTTCTGCAAAGGGACCAGGACGACTGATCCGTGTAAAGGAAAGAATGAATGGGGCCATGTATCGTGAGATTTTGAGTGAAAACCTCCTTCCATCAGCAAGGGCATTGAAGATTAAACGTGGCTGGGTCTTTCAGCATGACAATGATCCCAAACACACCACCCGGGCAACGAAGGAGTGGCTTCGTAAGAAGCATTTCAAGGTCCTGGAGTGGCCTAGCCAGTCTCCAGATCTCAACCACATAGAAAATCTTTGGAGGGAGTTGAAAGTCTGTGTTGCCCAGCAACAGCCCCAAAACATCACTGCTCTAGAGGAGATCTGCATGGAGGAATGGGCCAAAATACCAGCAATAGTGTGTGAAAACCTTGTGAAGACTTACAGAAAACGTTTGACCTGTGTCATTGCCAACAAAGGGTATATAACAAAGTATTGAGAAACTTTTGTTATTGACCAAATACTTATTTTCCACCATAATTTGCAAATAAATTCATTAAAAATCCTACAATGTGATTTTCTGGATTTATTTTTCTTATTTTGTCTGTCATAGTTGACGTGTACCTATGATGAAAATTACAGGCCTCTCTCATCTTTTTAAGTGGGAGAACTTGCACAATTGGTGGCTGACTAAATACTTTTTTTCCCCACTGTATGTGATGGACATATTACTTTTTGTCATAATAGAAATGTGTAAATTACTGAGGCCAGTGAATGTGTAAGGCTGTGATGAGTGACGGCCATGGGCAATCCTCATACATTCATGAAGTGTTTTGTCTGATACATCGATGGTAGAAAGAGGACAGGATATCATTCTACAAATTCATCAATGATTGTAATTAACTGTATATTACATTGTGTAAAGTTCAGTGTTTATGTGTGTAAGAGAGAATGAAAGGGTGAGAAACAGTGTTTACATGTGTGTATTTGTGTCATATGACAGAGTATAGTGTACAGACTTCACTCTTAGTGGAGTGGCAATTGATGGAGATCACCTCATTTTTCGGGGTGTGTTTTTATTGCCTCATAGTATATAGACTTGTACTGGAGGGAAGATTGTATTTGATATATTTAAGATTTCTATAGTCCCCTGTAGCTCAGCTGGTAGAGCATGGCGCTTTCAACGCCAGGGTTGTGGGTTTGTTTCCCACGGGGGGGCAGTATGAAAATGTATGCACTCACTAACTGTAAGGCTCTGGATAAGAGTGTCTGCTAAATGACTAAAATGTAAAAATTATTATCAATAATACTCTGAAAAATCTAATAAAAACATTCAACACGTGCCCCTCTCCGTCTTACTTGTGTTTCTCAGAGAGGTGTGTCAGGTGATTTAGATGACAGTATCGGGTGGTTGGTCTGGGATGCTACTGTAAGGGGGGCAAGCAAGAGTCTCTCCTGAGTTGGGATAGGCTCACAGAAGGTGGTGAGTCTGACATTTAGCTTGTAGAGGTACCTTAGGGCTGAGTATACTACTCCAGAGAGGGGAGTAGTGCTGAAAGCCAGCCGGAGAGAAGAGGCTGGGTCTCCAGTGTGGCCGGGGCCAGTCCTCTAGCCACGATCATGTTCCCTCTTGTCTTTATACATACAGGCTGGTCTCTGCAGCACAAACATCACAGCAGCCTCCCAGATTCCACACCCCTCTCTCCTCCCCTGTCTCCTATCTCTCCCCTTGTCTATCTATTCCACCTTCCCTGTCTATCACACCTCTCTCTACAGACCTGTCGGTCTGGCTTGGAACAGACTGACTTCCAGTGTGCTAGTTGCCTAAATGGCATCTCTGAGGCTATCACAGCATGGGCCTACTGTTTAATGTATTCGGATCATCTCAATGTATCACCTATTCACCTGCTCAATGTAATCAGTTTGAAATTCAGGTTTGGACACATCAATCATACACTATAGGGTTAGATAAGGATTGGAGATAAGGCTGGGAATAGGGCGACAATTTGGTTTCCTATAAGCCTATACATCCTCATTGTATTTTGTTCACTGGTCCACCGACAGACAAAACCCTACAGAGCACACATTCCATCATCACCATAGAGACTGCAGTACTATCTGCCATCGTCTTCACTAAAGGCCCCACTCCTCCTATTGGCTGTATCCCTTCTGACTGTACCACATTTCTCCAAAGACTATGGTCTCTAGTGTTTGTCTAGTGGGGCTATTTGGCGTTGTAAATTCAGGGAAAGTATTGTTCTCAGAATTATTGAACACTAAAGCTGGTGTCCCAGGACAACGTTTGACAAAACGGCTGTCAAAGAGGTGCTCTTGCATTTCAGCGAAAGCCATGGCAATATGAGGACTGGGGAGGTTGTTATAGGAGGTTGCATGATAGTTGATTGTTCAAGGCAAGAGCATTAAAATTGGGTTATAACATCATGGTATGGATTTTTCTAAGGGTCCAGTCCATATTAAACAGAAGCTTTGTCATGTACTGTACAGTCGTGGTCAAAAGTTTTGAGAATGACACAAGTATTGGTCTTCACAAAGTTTGCTGCTTCAGTGTTTTTAGATATTTTTGTCAGATGTTACTATGGTATACTGAAGTATAATTACAAGCATTCCATAAGTGTCAAAGGCTTTTATTGACAATTACATTAAGTTTATGCAAAGACTCAATATTTGCAGTGTTGACCCTTCTTTTTCAAGACCTCTGCAATCCACCCTGGCATGCTGTCAATTAACTTCTGGGCCACATCCTGACTGATGGCAGCCCATTCTTGCAATAATCAATGCTTGGAGTTTGTCAGAATTTGTGGGGTTTTGTTTGTCCACCCGCCTCTTGAGGATTGACCACAAGTTCTCAATGGGATTAAGGTCTGGGGAGTTTCCTGGCCATGGACCCAAAATGTCGATGTTTTGTTCCCCGAGCCACTTAGTTATCACTTTTACCTTATGGCAAGGTGCTCCATCATGCTGGAAAAGGCATTGTTTGTCACCAAACTGTTCTTGGATGGTTGGGAGAAGTTGCTCTCGGAGGATGTGTTGGTACCATTCTTTATTCATGGCTGTGTTCTTAGGCAAAATTGTGAGTGAGCCCACTCCCTTGGCTGAGAAGCAACCCCACACATGAATGGTATCAGGATGCTTTACTGTTGGCATGACACAGGACTGATGGTAGCGCTCACCTTGTCTTCTCCGGACAAGCTTTTTTCCGGATGCCCCAAACAATCGGAAAGGGGATTCATCAGAGAAAATGACTTTACCCCAGTCCTCAGCAGTCCAATCCCTGTACCTTTTGCAGAATATCAGTCTGTCCCTGATGTTTTTCCTGGAGAGAAGTGGCTTCCTCGCTGCCCTTCTTGACACCAGGCCATCCTCCAAAAGTCTTCGCCTCACTGGGCGTGCAGATGCACTCACACCTGTCTGCTGCCATTCCTGAGCAAGCTCTGCACTGGTGGTGCCCCGATCCCGCAGCTGAATCAACTTTAGGAGACGGTCCTGGCACTTGCTGGACTTTCTTGGGCGCCCTGAAGCCTTCTTCACAACAATTGAAGCTCTCTCCTTGAAGTTCTTGATAATCCGATAAATGGTTGATTTAGGTGCAATCTTACTAGCAGCAATATCCTTGCCTATGAAGCCCTTTTTGTGCAAAGCAATGATGACGGCACGTGTTTCCTTGCAGGTAACCATGGTTAACAGAGGAAGAACAATGATTTCAAGCACCACCCTCCGTTTAAAGCTTCCAGTCTGTTATTCTAACTCAATCAGCATGACAGAGTGATCTCCAGCCTTGTCCTCGTCAACACTCTCACCTGTGTTAACGAGAGAATCACTGACATGATGTCAGCTGGTCCTTTTGTGGCAGGGCTGAAATGCAGTGGAAATGTTTTTGGGGGATTAAGTTAATTTTCATGGCAAATAGGGACTTTGCAATTTATTGCAATTCATCTGATCACTCTTCATAACATTCTGGAGTATATGCAAATTGCCATCATAAAAACTGAGGCAGCAGACTTTGTGAAAATTTATTTTTGTTTCATTCTCAAAACTTTTGACCACGACAGTAGTTGACTTACACTAAAACATATTATATGAAAGCAGAGCATCCGGTGAAATTAGCATTACTCATAAAGGCAGTGAGTCTATGCAGTTCTCTCCCCTGTGAATTGTTTTGGCTATAGCCTCCTGCTGCGGTGGAGTTTACATTGGCCTGGACACCAGACTGGAAGTTACAGGTGTTGTCCAGCCTCACAGAGAACTGAGTTTCAGCATGGTCGTAACATAGGAAAGGGAAATATGTCAGACATCAACAGGGTCTGTGGGAAGTGGTGGTACGGTGGGGGCCTGGGTGGAAGGTTAACCAGAGCAGAAGAAACTCCCAAAAAGAACCATAGCATCCTCTGCAGAAGACAACTGTCATATAAGCAACAATTACACAAAAAGTATTCTCCCTGAGAGAAATGTCACTCTCTAAACAGGAGTCAGGTTTCACCAAAATGTAAAGGTTCCAGCAGTTCAGTGCTGCAGTCTGTGAGATGTATTGTGTAAAACACAACATTTAACTTGTCCCGCCATATAACTCTAAACCATATCTTTACATTTAAAAAAAAAACTAATATTTCTAGGGAAAAAATAACCTGCACTGGGTGGACATTTTCTGCAGCAGTTTTCCAGTACACTGAAGTTATCACTGTTCAGTGGCCACTGTTGAGGAGACAGTACGCCTACAACACAAGAGAACACTGTCCTCTACTGGCCCCTAGCAAGCAGTGCAGGTTAGGTTGAGCCGGGGTGAGGACATTAGGTTAGGGTTATGGCTAGGGTTACGGTTGAGCCAGGGTGTGGACATGAAGCTAGGGTTATGGGTAGGGTTGAGCCGGGCTCTCCCTTTGACCCAAGGTCAATTTAACCACTGTACTTGGCCTACTCTAATAACATTCATAATACTAGGATTCAGTCTTATTTGGAAATGTTTTATTTTCCAGGCCTTATTGTTGACCCCCAGCTCTTTATTTACTACGAAAGATATGATACATAATTTAACCTACACAATAATATAGTAACTATATTCAAATAAATGTATTGCCACATCTCGCCCAAACTTCTCTTGAAAGTCAATGTTAATGTCTTGTAAATGTCACATTTGTATGATTCCGAATATATTAATTGTAAGTGAGCGTCTGCTAAATGACTAAAATGTAAAATGTAATTAAATCATGCATGGAAGTGCAAGTGGTTATTGACAGTCTATACGTTTTAATTGGACATGTTAATTGTGGAATGGATTGTCATAATTGGAAACAGTTTAGTTTGGTTTAATCTAATGAGAAAATGTCCAATGACCCTCTCCAAACACATAAATCATTTTGACAGTAACCCCACCCCTGACAGTCTAGTGGCTGCGCACACTGCATGTTCAAAACGTCACCAAGAAGCGAATTAAATACCCGCTTGCGCAATTCAGTAAATAGTGTAGCTGTCAAAGACGCGAGTGATAGTTGAGAGTCGGATGATAAATGTAATTGACTCAAAAAGATTTTGCGTGCCATCTCTTTAAAACCAATTTTGTTACATTGTATCTTTGATAACGTGCGTTTTTTCCTTTTTGACATTGCTTTAAATCGTTTTAATTAACCACTTTCGTAAATGTGTCGCTTTATTTATGGGATATGGATATCATAGAAGCGCTAGTTTGTTACAGTCAGGTTTAACTATTGTTGAAACATTATCTGCTGTCGCCCATTGTTTTGTTTTTGCTTTTTTACAACTGAACTTCTCCACGTCTGAATTCTCTGGGAAGCACATCAAGGTGAGCATCTTCTGTTCTAAATGCGCTTATGGTGCGTTAAGCAGTCTAAGTTGATGACCAAATTACTTACCGTAATGTTCAAATGAATTTTGATTCCATGAAGTATACATTTATATACAGGCTATTTTTACCTCCTCTTGATTCGCTGTTGCATGATGGTTCGAAGTTCATCCCGAGTCTCCTTCTTTTGAGACTGCTATTGTTTTCCTTGCACGTGCATCACTCTGACACTTCTGTGTTTCACTGTATGATTTCCTGTATAAAAAATATACTATTCGTAACCAGGACCTTATTCAACGTAGAAAAGTGTTCTGTATGAATAGATAACACAGCTCCCTTGTCTTGTGGAATATAAATATGTAGTATTTATTATTATTATTGTGATACCTGTAAATGACAGGTAAAATGGCAGGTTAAACTGGTGTTATTGTCATAAAACGTGTTATAAATGCTATGTTATTGTTTTTAGTATAATGTAGCCTATTTTGTTCAATCAGTGACCATATTATTTGTTGACTTCCTACGTTTTTGGTGAGTTGTGATGCAGGCAAATGAACATTTGCTAGGTATACCTTGTCTGCTTGGTATTTAGAATAAAAAATCATTCACCCAACCACCTAATATGGGCATCCTTATTAAAACTTCAATTTACAGCTTACCTGGCTTGTCCTGTAGGAGCTTCATGTTCTTGAACTAGCGAACATACAGAAAGTAAAGGTGTGGGGAAATCCTTTGTCGGAAGATATAGTGAAACATAAGCATGTTGACTAAATAATGTACTTAGTTAAAGTTATTGGATTCATGTTGCCCATGCTTGCTTGCTTTATTGGTCACCTGTTAGGACTTGTGGGTATCCTGACCCCTTACAGTAGTAGATCATTGGGGGCTCCCTGCTTGACATTGTCAATGAGGTCATTGTAACAGCATGCTACCTTTGCCATGTAGCTTAAGTGTCAACATTTTCTTTGTTTCCAGGAGCTTCAGAGGGCCCAGCATGGTGAACAGTCAGCTGGGTGGTGTTGTGGCATCACCTCCCAAGGTCATGTGCAGGATGCGGGGGGAAGATCGCAGACCGCTTCCTGCTCTTCTCCATGGAGCGCTACTGGCACACACGGTGCCTCAAGTGCTCCTGCTGCCACGCAAAGCTGGGCGACATTGGCACCACCTGCTACAGTAAAGGAGGCATGATCCTGTGTAGGAGCGACTATATCAGGTGAGGTCCTATGGGGCTCTGTGGAGAGGACAGGAGGGTGAGGATCTAGACTTTATCTCCCAGGCTAGGGCACTGCGACTGATCTGGCTCTGCTTTGTGTCTGCAGGTTGTTCGGGCACAGTGGGGCATGCAGCACCTGTGGCCAGTCCATCCCGGCCAATGAGATGGTTATGAGGGCACAGGGCAATGTGTACCATCTCAAGGTAAGACCTCCTGGCAGTAATTGTCTCACTGTTGTTAGTGTCTGTCACCATCAGTGCATTTGTAACAGTTGTTTGTGTGAAACCAATAGATGTATACTTGAAACAAGGTGCTATATACACTGTCCTAAAGTTAACTTGTATGTTGGAGTTTAACGTTTGCTAACGACACTAGAGTAAGGCCTGGACTTGGCACGTTTGTCATGAGGATTCTAACTCCTGTGTCTGTTTTTTATCCTTAGTGTTTCACCTGTGCCACCTGTAGAAACAGACTGGTGCCAGGGGACCGCTTCCACTATGTCAACGGCACCATCTTCTGTGAGCATGACCGGCCAGGGGCTGCACTGCTCAGCAGCCACCTGCCCCCACTCCAGAGTAACCCTGTGCTGCCTGACCAGAAGGTGAGAGGGGGACCAGGTCCATGGGGCCTTTCACACTGTCATATCTTTCACACACACTACTGTCTAGTAACTAACGTTTTATTCACCCCTGCTCTTGTCTGTAGGTGTGCTGAGTGGTTAGAGCGGTGCGGTGTGCCTTCATCCTTCCCTTGTCTCCAGAGGTCTCTCCATCCATGCTCACCCTGCTCCCGATACTGTTGTTGTGGATCCTCATCACCATCCACCATCTTGTCTCTTTGACCAGGAGGCTATTTTTACTTGCAGGATCAACTTCAGATGTGTTGTGCATATCCATGCTTGAAACAGTTTACAAATACACTGTCATGGTGAGTCATGTGTGATGCAGTGCTGGTCTGCCCATCAAAGACAATATGGACCACATGAACTACTTCAGGACTGAGGTTACATGTTGTACTGTAAGTAAGGGACCCCCAATTCTGTGCATATCCAGAACTTTGGTGCTTGTGGACAAATCTTGCCATGAGTTTTAAGGGTATGGCCTGGACCCTCTCTAAGAAGAATAAAGCAAACAAAAATAAGTGTCTTCATGGACACCACTAAAACTCTATCAGTCACAGTGGTATTGCTGTGGTCATCTTTATTGTCAGGAATATCGCTTAGATGATGAACTCAGAATCCCTCTCAATGGCCTCCTCTGTTACTCTGTGATGTTTAGACCATCATATGAATTGGGCTGAAGTCAAGGAAGAAGATAAATGTCCATTCTTTTTTATATAATGCTATTGTGTGTTTCCCAGTAGAGTTCTATTTCCTGAATTAATGTTGCATTCAATTTAATTATGGATGTCTGTTCAATATGTGACATTATCAGATGGAGACAAAAAATACTATTAAAATACTTTACTATAACATGAGGTGAACTGAAGTAATTGAAGCCTATGTGCAGTTGGTTGGTTACATGACATGGGTCTCATGGTATTACATGGTAAGCTACTACCCAGTTGGTGTGGCATTTTCTCCCTGCTTGTGCTGCATAGCTTCCTCCAGCCCTGTATGGTGAAAGCATGCCTGATTACCCTGAGGAATAGAGTTGGAGGGCTATAGTCTTGACCATTTACAGAAGCAATTAAACATGAGTGGTGTATCTTGCTGCCTGCTACAGTTCCTGCTCCTGGGAGGCTGAACTTCGGCCATATCCCGTGGCTGATGTTTTTAAAGACTAATCTGGGAGCCGGCCTAATTAAAGGGAGGGGCTCCTACGCATCCAGCCAGCGTGTAGAAGAAAAAAACCACAACAACAATCTGATGCTTGGACGGTTTACCATGTTGCAATTAAAAGACACAAGCCAGAGCTTTTCCAATCCCCCTCTGCTGCTCTTGGTTGTTCAATAGAATGAGCTTTGATTTCTGTTAGGATCTGCATTGGCTAACTTGCTTGAACTTCCTTGAATTTGTCTGTTTGATGTAATGTAAAACTGGATATGACAAATCTGTAGCCATACTGCAAACAGTATGAAAAATGTATGCACTCACTAACTGTAAGTCGCTCTGGATAAGAGCGTCTGCTAAATGACTAAAATGTAAAAATATAGTCAGACATGGGTTTGTAGACCTGAGTGATTAAGGCTTTAAGAAATACAGTTAGTGAATCAGTTGATAGCATCTGCTGTGCTTCAGATGAGGTCTGTACTTTCACACCTTTGCTAGGAGCATGGCAGCCATCAAAATTGCACCTTGTGTCCCACTTGTCATGGTAGGTGCTGATACGGCATCAATGATGTATTCCACATTTGATTGAAAAGCATCACGCAAATTCATTAACGTATGCAAATGGCAACAATTACAAATATCTTCATATCTAGATTGTGCAGAGGTTTTATTTCCTCACTATCTGAATCCCAACGCTCCACAAGTTACACTTAGCGTTCAAACCAATCAGGACTCATCTGCATATTACTAATTAGCCCAGCATTTTCAGATGCCAATTAGCAGGTCTCATAAAAGAAACTCTTTGCCATGAGGTGTTGTTTTTTTTCAGAGACTTTGCAGGTGTGTGGCTCACAATCTAGCCTATCTTCTGTTATAGGAAAGTGTTTATACTCACTAATTAATCATATTAACACATGCAGATGAGTGTAATTGCCTTAGCTTCTACGCCTCACACTGTGTGAAGAGACAGAAATTAGCCAGGATATTTTTTACAAGCGGATGAAGAGGAAGAGAGGGTCTGAGTGGTGTCCTTCCGTCTGAGTGGCCACTCCTCTGATACAGATCCAAGATGGAGTCTCTGTGTCCTTCTGCCCAGCCACTCCTATGATACAGATCCAAGATGGAGTCTCTATGTCCTTCTGCCCAGCCACTCCTCTGATACAGATCCAAGATGGAGTCTCTGTGTCGAGCTGTCATATGAAGATGAACCACTGTCTCTGTGCCAGCAGGACTGGCAGGAAGATCATATCTGTCTCATGATCTGTTGAGAGGCCAAGGAGAGGGTTTGGAGCAATCTGACAATGTGCTGGCGTTAAGAGACAGACAGACACCATTTAAATCCTCTCAGCTCAAGCAGTCTGGCTGCTGTTAAATGTGTTCCAGTGAGAATACAGTATGTTAGAGAGGTATGTGCATGTGGTCACTGTCAGGAACAGAGCCAGAGACTCTGCTGAAAGTGGGTCCGTGTTGATAGACAGGCATGCAAGCTGAGGTGATGTCCGCCTACAGACATGCATAACATTCATGGTAACAGGTTTCCAGTAAAAAACACCATCTGTTTTTTTTTTTTTTTTACATTTGTCCTATCTATTGAAAAGCCAAGTATGTATGTACTGTTGCCTAAGGAATTGTAACTATGCTAAGAATTCTTCTTGCGACCATAAAACTGTCCTGTCTGCTAAAACAATAGAGAACAGGCTTAATGACAAAGAAAAAACAACTTTACAACTATGAGCCTCACACAGGAACGAGAGAGACAGAGAGAGAGAGAGATAGATAGATAGAGAGAGAGAGGAGAAAAGTTCCCTGCCCAATCAGAACGCTTTGAATAATTAAACTGATCGGCTTAATTAGCTCAATTACGTTAATTTGACCATGGAACACGGCCATATGGTGAAAGGAAACAAAAGAGGGGGGAACTAATTAAAAGTAAAATAATGAGGATTTTAATTAACTGGTTCCCCAGACAGCAGCGCGCAGGGATCAGAAGCCTGGTACCATAATTAAAGTGCTGTAACGCTGGCAACATCTCTCCTTTCTTTCTTATATCTGTGAGGGCTCTATCCATCTAATTAAATCTGTAAATAAATTAGCAACATTGAGGGCTTGACTTAACACCGCCTGCAATCCACCCCCTACCCCCCAATAACACGCTCACTTTACTCCCATCACACACGTCTAAAATAGAATGGATGTGCAAGCCAAGGTTTTGCCAAAGTCTGATATTAACAACAAGTTGTAGATAGAGGATTTGTATATGTGTGTACATTTGTCATGGTATGTTTGTGTGTCTGTCTGTGTGTTTGTGTGTGTGTGTGTGTGTGTGTGTGTGTGTGTGTGTGTGTGTGTGTGTTTGTGTGTGTGTGTGAGTCTGTGAGTGTGTATACATGCATGATGCAGGTTGTGCTATCATGTTTGTGCAGGCTGATGTTTGTGTTTGCTCCCTCTCATAACCCCGAACTCTTTTAAATAGTGTCTGCCCTGAGTATCACAGTGACACCAGCCCCTATCTCTGTGAGTAGTCCCCCCCCCCCCCCCCCCCCCCCCCCCCCAGATCCCATACCCCATGACATATAAGTTATTTGACATACAGTACCATAAAACACACTGTACACACTATTTCTAATCCTATCCAATGACTAATGGTTGAAACTCCAGCCGCTCTGGTGTAGTGCTGATTATCCCAGGTGTGGCCCATGTTAGGGTAAACCCACAGGGTGTTGTATCGATACAAAACAAGACAGACTGTAGACCCCCAGGGGGAGTAACGTTATTCTCACCTGAGAGACAAGGGACAGATGCTGCTCTGAGATGGGCTGTGACCTGTTTGTAAATGGAACTCAGTGTGGGATGCTGATCGTTTAGTAGTCTATTCTCACACAGCATAGTGATGACCTTATTTACTTAGTTCCACTTGTGTCTTCCTGTCCCCCACTGCTAGGCTCCAGAGGCTCTTACAACACCAAACCTGAGGCTGTTCCTCAGGATCTGTAGACAGATCTAGGATCAGATTACCCTCCCCTAATCCTAACCAGTGAGAGGAGAAATCCAAAAATGACCATAGATCAGCTTCTACTGGCAACTTCATACAACTCTGTTCCACAGCAGTGCTTCTTGAGACAAAGTTCTATTATTGCTCAGAAGAAGTGTTGTGAAAGGCCAAAGCCTCTTTGGCAGGTTTAGTTAGTGTGTGTTCCAACCCCCTCTCACTGGAACCAGGTGGAACACACGTGCATTCATTAGCGCTCTGTTAATGAGGAGCAGATGCAACACGTTCTCTCTCTCCCTCGTTCTCTCTCCCTCGTTCTCTCGCCTTCGTTCTCTCTCCTTCATTCTCTCTCCTTCGTCCTCTCTCCCTCGTTTTCTCTCTCACGTTCTCTCTCCCACATTCTCTCTCCCTCGTTCTCTCTCCATTGATCTCTCTCCCTCGTTATCTCTCTATCGTTCTCTCTCCCTCATTCTCTCTCCATCGTTCTCTCTCCCTTGTTCTCTCTCCCTCGTTCTCTCTCCCTCATTATCTCTCTATCGTTCTCTCTCCCTCGTTCTCTCTCTATTGTTCTCTCTCCATTGAACTCTCTCCCTCGTTCTCTCTCCCCCGTTCTCTCTCCCTCGTTCTCTCTTTCACGTTCTCTCTCCATCGTTCTCTCTCCCTCGTTCTCCCTCCCTCGTTCTCTCTCCCTCGTTCTCTCTCTCACGCTCTCTCTCTCTTAATTGTTCTCTCTCCATTGTTCTCTCTCCCTCGTTCTCTCTCCCTTGTTCACTCTCCCTCGTTCTCTCTCCATTGTTCTCTCTCCATCGTTCTCTCTCCCTCGTTCTCTCTCCCTCGTGCTCTCTCTCTCACACACACTCACACAGTGCTGGCCTCCCCTCTATTCAACCCTATTGTGGAGGTTTTTCACAGCTGAGACGAGTGGGCCTCATTAAAGGACATTTGTCCAATTTAGATGAATG